TAGCATAAAGTGAGAAGGTTTTCATGCTGATGGTTTCCAAGGTCAGTTAAGTAGCATCCATACAAATTTCTGCATTGACTTCAGGAGGATAAAGGTAAGCACAGCTATTACATACCAAAGGTCTTTCATGAGCACCAGTTGAAAATAGTCCCAAACAACTTGTGTAAGTAGCTAGCTAGAAGTTTAGCTTTCAGAATGAATTAATGGCATATAGAATGGCTTAGGTCTTTTTCCCTCCTATATTTACTCCATAAAAATAAGAACTCAGATTCCCAATTTCAATTTTTAAAAGGTACTCATTTTCACAGAACAGAGTCCTGGCAGCCCTCGTTTTCCTCTTTAAATAGAGGTATTGCCACACTGGTGAATATCTCAAGCATCATCTATGCCTGCAGCTTCTCAGGAAGTTCCAAAATGTCTCTAATGAGCGAGTGGCTAATTATTTGACCCAGTGGAAGAGTTTGTTCCTCCTCATTACTAGGAATAGCAAATCCTTTTCAGAATAAACCTAATATCCAGGTTTCAATAATACTACATGTCAGAGGGCACCAGTGGTTAATGAGACAAGATTTTGAAATGTTCTTTATTTTGCCTTCTTATCTTTATTATAAACATATTTCTTACCTTCCAGTGACACTGTGCTTCCTAGTGAAACAGAAAATGGTATCATTATCTGTATCACTTTTACCAATTTCCAAAACCTTAGTATTTCCTCTATTCATCTTTTTTCCTGTATGTGCAGTACAGCTCACTGAAATCTCTCTTGTCTCTGCCCCTATTAGTGTGTTGATTTGTCATTGTGCTTCCTCTGTTTCCACTAGATAGCTTGAGGGATGAGTGACTAAAACTAAGCAATGTCCCAAAAGGATAATATGGGATATTTTCAGAAATCATTTTCTGCTATGTGCTAAGTTATAGTTGAGGTTACTGAGGGACTTTTTTCAAACAGGTCGTATTTCTGTTCAGAAGACTGCAGTCTTGGAGTCCTGACAATTCATTTCTGTGTGCATTAATTCACATTTATCAATATGAACACTGAACCTGAACTCTCTCCCTGATTTTTCCTTTAGGGTATAACATAGATCTGCTCACTCTTAAGTATCTTTCAGGAATATATGCCTGTCTGACTGGAAGAAGTACCAGAAGCCATATACATCTGTGCTTGCATGACTACTCATGGCTCTTATATAACCAGGTATAAAAGTCAGAGTTGGATGCTTTTTCTTTTTTGATCTTCATGTCAAGCACTTCATCTTTTTGAAAATTATGCCAGGTTTAAATTTTCAAGGGAACTTATGTAAAACAAAGAACAATATAAAATGTGAAGTAGATGCAACAGAATATTTTTGTAAAGATTCTGCCAAGTCACAATCCTCTTTTTCTTTCTTGAATTTGTGACTTTCAGCTTCTATAGAACCAGCTTGTTTTTCCACTTCTGTGTTTCACTCCTGTTCTGTCTCTCTAGCAATCTGCCTCCAGCAGGACAGGGCAGGCAGTTTCCTTGCATGGGCCAAGGACTCTCTGGCTAGCTTTAAACAAAACAAGTCAAAGATCCTGAGGTGGTCTAAGGCCGAGGACATGACACTGCCCATGTCCTTGTATCTCATCTTTCGTCCCTCAGCACAAACTGGTGATGCCCAAACTGCATTTGAGAGCAGTCTCAAGCACAGCTGGACCCAGCGCTGTCCCTGGGAAGTCTCTGGGGCTGCTGGTTGGCAGAGGCCAGCACTGCACCAGGGAGAGTGCTAGCAGACCATGTCTATGGCCCTCACAGTACTTCAGCCAGGGTCCCAGGCCTATTTCCTACTATAAATGAAGCCCAGATGCCTGAGCAAGCAATATAAAGGAAAAAGAAAACTGGTTCTCGCTTTTCTTTTGAATTAGTTTAAATTACAAAGGAAGAAAAGTCATTAGAGCAGATCCCTTTCCTACTGAAATGCCAGGCTAGGAGTCTCTGATGCATGCAATTCACCCTTGAGACAGGAGGAAAACTTCTCTTCATTTTCTGACTGTAGTTTCAGTGCTTGGATGGCCTAACCCTTGACACAGCTTCCAGAAGCTGGGCAACTACTTTGCTTTCTGCTGCACACTGCCATGATAGCCTAAGGTCTGTTAGAGCAGCTCTGTCACACCTCTAGAATAAAAGACTATTCTAGAAGTGAAAGAGCCCTTGTCTGCTCTTCTGGGTCACTTTTTCCCTGCTGTGTCTCAGCAGTGCAGGACAAGCAGGATGAGGGCAGCAGGCTCAGCTGCTGGGTTATGATAAGGTTAGGGGTGGATGGGAAGATTAAGAGGGGGTTATTTTGTAAAATATCACTAAGCCTTAAACTGTTAAATTGCTAAAGAGTGAGACCTTTATATTAGCTAAACACTTTGTTTTGGGTGATAGAAGGAAAAGTTTTGCATACACTAAAATTTTATTCTTACTCTGAAAGCTGCAAATTTTGAGGTGTGGTCCAGGAATAACATTATGATCTTTTTTATGCAAGGGGTGTCCTGGGTGTCAAGAGGTCCCCTTCTTGCCTTAAAGATCAAGCTCTGGGAGCACATGAAAGTTAATTCCTTGGTCCCAGCAGCTTGAATCAGATTACCAGAGGTATGTACCTAAATTCAGGAAATTTAGGAGCTTCCTAAGGAGAACATGGAGCTATTTTAAGTGAGGCAACAGAAAGTACTAAGCACAGGAGTAGACCCAAGGATACCCCTCCTCTCCAGAGTTCATGCACTTCCCTCTGAAAAGCAGCTATGTGGAACCCAATTTTGATGGTGTGCAGGATCGAGCTTTACTGTTTCACAAGGCAGTGGTTGCAATAACTAGCACTTGTTCAAAAAGGAGATACGGGAGATTCAAACATAAAGTGTCCTGACTGTGGAGGTAAGGTATTCTGGCTGCAGAATAACAGTGGGGCTGTGCCACCGTGTCACTGGGAATGTAGGAGTCTCGCCACCAGAAGGAGAATCCCAGCTGCTTGGAGATATCATTTATCACTGTCTCTGAATTGCTGCAGAGCAGTAGATGGAGCCGCAGATACAAGTGCCTATACACGTTTACACTTGAAACATTGCAGTAGAAATGCAGGCAGTGTATGGGTTTAGGCATCTCCCCAGTTGTGTAACTGCTGCCAACATTAGCTTTTTGGACTGCTTTATTGAATACCTAAGTGAAATTCCTTTTTAGTCTTTGTTTACTTTTGCCCCAAATCAATTAACTGCAGCTCCACAGGGTTTGATTTTCTAATCCAACCATGCTCAATCACTGATGTAAACCAAGATTTTTTTTCTCCCCTTAGATTCTTTTCTAATGGCTTCTTATTTTTTTCCCTCTAAGTGTGTGGCTGAAATCTCCACATCTATTTATAAGGGCTTCCCCACTTCCAGGAGTGTTTAATCAGAGAGAATGCTATCAGCAGGTGGTTAGCATCAAATGTCAGCAGCTACTTCTTTTCTGACATCTCTTGGGAAAAAAATGTTTCATTACCATGCAAATGATGTTAGTCTTCCTTTGCAAGATCCATTGTCACACAGTGTAACATATGGTACACAGAACTGTGCTCCCAAAATTTATGCAGCAACTACATTTTGTAACAAGAACAACAATTTTGAGAGCTAAACCATCAGATAACTGTCATCACTGTTTCCCAATGAGATGGTGAATATTTCTGTATCTCATGGTTACTCTAACTTCAGTGGGGAGACACACACACTTAGTTCTGCTTTCTTTTGAACCCTTCCATTTTTCTTTAGCTTATATCAGAAATACCTTGGTACCTTCAACAGCCTATGCCAGACAGAATAACTGAGCAAATTTAACGCATTCTATTATCTTTTTTGAGTGTGTCTGGGATGTGAATTGTTCAGTTGATACTTGGAGTGCCCTTGTCTTGAACTACACAAAGAAAATGAAGCTGCTAGCCTCTCTTGAGAATTTTCAGAAGTGCCAATAATGGCAGTTGGAACTCAACTTTTCCAAGGGCCCTGAAACCCAGTAAGCAGACTGGGATAAAACTCTGAGGGGCTTGATTCATCAGAGCACTGGAGTACAGTTCGGTGACTTCAGTGGGACTTCAGGATGTGTCTGGGTTTAAGCATATGTTTGGGTGAATTGTTAACCTCAAGTATGTGATCAAGTGCTTTGCTGACTCAGGGACCAGACATCCCTTGCAGCTTGTTGTTTTCCACTTTGCCATCTGGGAAGAGGCAGCACGTGGGCTGTGTGAGACATTGCATTGCTGAAAGGGTATTAACAACAGCCTTGAAGTTTCCAGGTTCTCTGAATAAGGTATTTTTGTCTCTGCAGATCTAACTGGGGTAGAATAACCTCACTGTACTGTCTGAAAGAAAACTGATCATGCCACAGCATTCTGCTAGGTTATCAGTCAATCTATGCCTAAGTAAAATAATCTTACGTTTTAGTGGAACAATAAGAGACAAGTGAAAGCCTGCAGGTTTGGGAGCATGAAATTGCCCCTTTCAGACATTTTAGGACGTCTCTTTTGTCAACTGGACAACTGTAAGAACCCAAATTTGCAAAGAGTCATCTCTTCACTAGACCCGTTTTCTGAGCTGAGGGAGCACATCCATATTAATATGAAATAAATGTTTTTACAGGCTGTTCAAACAACAGACTCTCTTGCTGCAACCAGGTAAAAGAGTGGGTTATAAAGTGTGGGTACAAAAGAGTGGGTTATAAAGACCTGTTATTGCATTTGTGGGAGAAGTGCAAAATATCCTGATCCCTCGGTATTCTTGAAATGATTTTAACTTCCCAAAAATACTAGGGGTTCATCTCAAAAATCTCCCAAATAACTCCCCCATCTGTTCAGCACACAATCCTACTTCTCTAATCCATTATCCTTCCGGTCTGCCATCTCTTGACTTAAAAACTGTTTAGGTACTGTTGTGCTACTTTCATTTCTGATGAATGCTTGCAGAGGAATAAATGATTATTGTAACAATATGCATTTCTCTGTGGGTACCCTATTTTTTTTATTCTTTTCCAGTGACAAAATGTTCCCAGCCTTTGGATTTGGAGCAAGAATACCCCCAGAATACAAAGTAGGTGCAAAAATGTAATTTTTCTAGTTTCCTTGGTTTATGAGGCACAAAATAAGGGAGAAATGGCTCAGTGCAAGGCAGGGACAAGGGGAAGCATCTCCTACCATTTTCTTTCATCTGGCTTTCTCACTCAATGATACCTTGCTGAAACCAGAAATCAAGGCAAGGCTCAAAATAGTTGTTTAACACCCAAAATATTTCATGGTATTGGCAAAGCTTTGTTAGTGGATGCTAGTCTAGTAAGAGAAGAACTTCTTTTTTGAACAACCCTTGTCAAACATATTTTGAAGCTTTGTGAGCCCTGGTTTGACAGAACCCATTTTTGGAAGATGTGATTCAGTGAGCAGCCTAGTGTTCATGCTTTGTAAGGAATACATTTAACATCTTCCTGAAAATAAAGACTTTAGAAGAGTTTTGCTGTGTGGCACATTTCTGTGTCACGGTGGATGTCATCAATGCCAGAAAGAGAAATACAAGAGCATGTATCCATGCTGGACAGAAGTGTTATTTGTAAACAAAACAAAATGAGAGTGATCCACAGTGACGGTGCAATTGTGAGCATAAATATACAGTCTGGTAGGGCTGGAGTGAAGACAGTGAAGTAAAAGAAGGAGCATCCAAAAGAGAAAGGCCTAAGAAGAAACAGGTTGAAGTTCAAATCCTGTGTTGCACATGCAGTAGTTGGGCAGAAGAGTAGCTCAGCATAGATAAGTAAGCAAAAACTAGGTGGGCGTTCTGTAACTCATATCCTCTCTAGAAAAGAAAAGCATTAGACTTCTGATGATGCAGACTTCATCCAGTATCCCCATGTGCCCTGCTCTAAGTTGTGTCTCAGCTGTGGCTGGAGCAGGCAGGTGAAACACTGGTCAGATGAGAATTTTTGTGCAGAGAGGGATCCTGTGTCATTCAGCATGAATCAGCAGATGAAAAAAAAATGCACCAAAAAATACTCACAGCTTGTAGGTTTGATACCTGCAGAAGAAGTACAGCAGTGATGTGCAGCAAATCTGATACGTCTTGCAAACAGATGTCTAAGGTAAGTTAACGTATCTCTTTACAACATTGCTTTCTAAGCTTGTTTGTGCCTGACAAGGTTTTTTGCCTTGCTGTGTTCTTCAAGAGTAACACCAGGCAGAGACAGCTTCCAGAACCTTGACATAGATTTTAATGTGGTATATGTGCACAGAACATCTGTGTCTGTTGTATGTCTGTTCCAACTGCAGCAGCTGACAACCATCTCTGCTATATAAGGGAGAATGTTTTGGAGAATACACTTGATCAGGCCACCAGACACATTAGTGAAACACGGTAGCTACTTCTCAAGCTGCCATCCCTTTGCCATGAATATGTGCAACCCTACCTGTGATCGAATAGCAGAGTTGACTGAGTTGGACCGTGCGTCACAACATCACAGCCCTTTCAGCCCAGTACTGGCCTCCTCTGACACTGCCATATGTACTGTTGTGTTTGTCCTTAACAAAGATACCAGCCTGGTGGTGTGCCAGGGGCTGGTTTTTCCATCCTCTGCAATGTGACCATCATTGCATGGGGGAAAACTTGCAATTCTTTCATCTGTAGAGAGACGTTCTTATCTAAGGACTGCTCGAAGGAAGATGTTACTGTGCCAGCAGAAGTCTTTTCACTGGTTTGCTGGTGATGGAAGTATAGTAAAGTTCACAGCACAAAATTGCCCTTCTCAGCCAAAATAATCAGCTGGTGGCATTGATGCCTCAGGCCACACAAGCATATTGGCAATATTCCAGTTTTGTTAGACCCCAGCAACAGCTTCCTCACCTGACTGTGAGAGCGCATCTCAGGTGTTAGCTGGGAAACAGATGTCTTGCTAGAAAGTAACTTCAGGAGTCTCTGTAACCAGATATTCATACAATCACCAACATCAAATGATTTTCTGCTTTGGCAGAATTGGTGCTTGCACAATTTCCTTACAACTACCCTTAAGAAAGTCAGAGACTTGCACTGAACTTAGTAGTCCACATCTGAATGAAGAGTCTTACCCCCCAGCACAAGCTGTCCTAAAGAGTCTCTATGTTACTAACCTCTCAAAGCAAGAAAATGGATGACTAAGGCCCTTCAGATTTTGAGAAGTTCAGGAAAAGTAAGGGTAAACTTCAGAAGATGGGGCTACTTGCTTATGGATTACATATATGAGTCCCACAGAAAATGGAGATGCAAATGAAGGCCAGAACATCTTTAATCTCTGCTATGGAAACTTGTGACAGAAAATGACAAAGATAAAATGACATTACATCAACTTACCAACATAATAAAACTTTGAAGAAGATAAGAACCACATTGCAGGGGACTAGCCCTTCTGTGCAACAGATGGGGACAAATAATCAGCTTGGTCTCTATCATGGGCACATTCAACTGGAACTGGATGAGGAATTAACAGTTATCTGTGCTATTTTTCAGTCCCTCCCTGTGATACTCTACTCAGTTCATAAAAGTCTATAAAATTCTAGTTTCTTAAAATAAACTATATCAACACTTTTGAGTCCCTGCTTGTCTTTGACTGCACTTCTGAAATGAAAAATACATCCTCTTAAGAGTGAAGAATCAGCCTCATCATGATGCATTAATAAGTCAAGACCAATAAACCTGAAAATGCTTTAGTAATTTAGTCTACACTGTTATAAAGTTAATTCAAAGTCACCAATGATTAGTGTTTGATGTGGAAGACAACAAAGACGCATAGGAAACAGAGAAGAAACTGATATAATTACAAGTAACAAAGACTGTAGAAAAAAGTGCTCACAAGTTTCTTCCTTAGGTTCTTCTGTTGCAAAAATATGATAACACTATAGACACCACAGCAACACTGCAGATCTCGTGCTATTCAAATGTTCTTTTCCTATTTTCAGTTACAGTTTTTATTTCATTAAAGGAGAGCAGAGTTATTACTGTAATAATTTACATCTTCAAATTTAGATTGAATCATTATGTGAATTTCTAAGTTCTGACCCCACCATGTGTGTGCTTTTAAGCCTCCAGCCCTAGTGCTCATAGCACATTTATCTCTGCATTCCAGCATCTGGTCTTTTATTTCTTCTAGTAGACAACAAATTGCTAGGACTGCAGAAGAACATATTTCCACTGCCACGGGTTCCTAAGTAACCACGAGAGCCTCCATACAACCTAAACAAAGCTTCTTCGTGAATAATGTCAATATTCACCTCTAGAGGCTATCCATAAATCTCTTGAGGTTGTACACCTTTAAATCATGTTTTTATATATATTTTCTACAGAATTTTCATTTCAAGAGCACACTGCTTTGTTATGTTGACTTCATTTTCCCTCATTTGAGCTCCAAATGATACACTTCAGCTGTTAGAAGAAAACCAGCAGTTTCTTAGTGGCATAAGGAATCTGTGGGAGTGAAGGAAGCCAGACATGCCATATATATCATTCCTCATCAGTCTAGAGATCTTTCGTCTAATATTCAGCAATATGATCTTTTTCCCCCAAGGCCTGAGAAACACATCACCCAGCTCCTTGATTTAAGTAAACCCGTGAGAGAAATATTCCCCTCTTAAGTTTCTATCATACAAAACTTGCAGAACATGCCAGTTATTCCACAGCAGTACCTATAACCTATCCCATTTTGGGGGGATTTTTTTTGCAATGAGAAGAAGCATCTGAGAAGTCTGATGTAAAGTGAAGAGGTGGTAGATAATATGGACTCAGACACTGCTGTGAAAGGTCACAGTGAAGAGGAGGAAAGAAAGCTAACCACACACACTAACTTCTTAGCAGGCAGAACTCAAAAGAGCTGAAAAACCACTCAGCATCACAAAACTTATTGTTAAAATGAAAAGAAAGTTCCAATTGTGTCAGCATACTGGCCTCTTTCTCAAAGAGGAATTGCAGACTGACACCTGAGTAAGTACTAAACAATTTGCAGTTTGTTTTAAGATAGTCCTCGTTATTTCTGCATTTTTACTGAAAGCTTCATTCACTGCTCGTGGTGTGAATGTGTGGTGGAGAGAAGCTCACTACAGTTACAGACACAGTACAGCATCTTCACAACTGCACTGTCTGGTTTGCTGGACAGATAAGGGACTTGAAAAGTGCTGTGGCCTGTGTGATTCCTGAACTTTTCAGGAGCCTGAGGGCAAAAATGTATGCAAACCTGACAAAAAAGAAACAATAGAAGGATGTGTAACAGAACAAGGGGAAAAACACAATTTGTCACCTTATCCACATAACTTGGATTTGGACATGGAAATTAGGCAGCATGCTCAAAAATCAATTACAAAGGAAAATAGATGGCCCAGCTTTACCAAGCAGAAATTTCTACAATGTGATCTTAGCAAGAGACAGAAGCTGTCCAGTTCCCAAACTATTTGATTAATGAGCATTCTGAAAATAATAGCTTTTGAGCAATAGTTCTTTAAATTTGTTAGTGTCTTAAGCTTTTGCAAAATATGCAGGCATTCCATATTTAATTTTCAGACTGGTAGTGTCTTAATAGAACAGAAAACTGTTCAACATTGTCCATCTTGCCATTTACGTTTGTGTGCATCTACTGTTCATGGATTTTTGACAATCTCTATTTAAATTATTAAGAAAGCATTCCTAAATGTGTCTGAATTTGTCAGATTGTTTGTCAAGTAGTTCTAGTACCATCACCATAGAGGTTTCTGGAAAGCTGGAGATATTTGGGAGAGAAAGGTTAATTTAAATGAATTCAACAGTCTAGAGAGGGAGAAAAAGGACTACTAATTTTCAGAATTCAGGCATACATATTCAGCACTTGGAAAATAAATGAAAAATGCACCTTTTTACTTAAAAAATGGAAATTCAGCTAGAGTAAAGGGGTTTATAAAAATGTGGAGGACAAAACAGAATAACAAGTTTCAAGAAAACTTAAATAAAAAGATTTTGCGTAGTCCAAAAGCTTGACAGCAATTTGCATTACGAATTATTGGAGGTTTATTATTTGTCAGATTCCAAGGTAGGGTTTGAGGTTTCTACCTGAGTCCAGAAGACTTTTTTTTAAGAAATCTCAAAAATTCTTATTAATTAGGAAATTCTTCTTTCCTTTCAGCTTTAATTAGAAAGCTTTTTAGCAAGGGCCATGCTATGAGGATGAATTTCATTGCATCCCAATACGAGGGAAATGAGTTACTTGCTACATTAAATCAAGGTGATTTTTTTACTAAAATGGTCATAAGCCTGTGGAACTATGGTTATGATTCTTCCAAGAGTCTCATGGGTGCCATCACATTGACAGAAAACTGCAGGTGCTTGTCAGTACAGACAATGGAGGCATCATACAGTGGCAAAAGAACAATTCTATAATCCGCCTTAGTTGTCACATCCTCAGAAATGCTGTCACTGTAATCTCCATCTTGATGTATGGTAGAGCTACTTATTTTCCTTGTTAAAAACCTTGAAGAAATTATCTGGAAATTAATATGTTCTTGGTGCAGGAAGTTCCTGGACAGCTGTGGTTTAATTATCCCACATCCATGATGGTACCTGCTAAGTAATGTATCTGGAGCGCTGCAGAGGGAAAAGATTAATATGTAGCAAAGTGCAAGTAAAGGGTTTTAGTTAGAGGTTTTGAGTGCTGTTTTGTGCAGCAGCTCAGGTAACACCAGGCTGATCACATGTAATCACCTCTGCACACCAGAATTTCTCTCTCCTTCCCTTTTATGGATTAATTTTATGGATTGATGTTAACAGAGGAGGGCTGAGCAGAGCATGAGCTACATACTTTAAACTTAGTCCGGGGTTTGTGACACACTCAGGGTTTTGTGAGGATATTCCTTATTGTGAGGCTGACTTCTACCACAGACCATGGTCTGCAGTTCTTTGCAAAGTTCTCTGTGCCAGGTACTAATATAAAACAGTCATTCTGTATCTGTGTGACTTGACATATTCCAGGATTTCCTTGACTGTTAGATTGATCCATAATACAAACCGCCCTAGTAAATTATATAAACATGCCTGCTTCTAAACAGCCAAGTGTCTTCTTGTTCCCCACGAGGATTTCCCAGTCTTCAGTGTCTTAGGTGTTCGCACTTTTGCCTCCTTTTTCCCATTAGTTTATCGGCTCTGGGAGTGCCTAAGGGCTGTGTAATTCAATATCAGAAAGATGCCATTTAGTATATACCAGCTTTTGGTCCTCTGTCATAAGCATGGTTTCCCTTTCAGTCACATAGCCCTTGCATGTTTAATTAAAAAAAATTAATAAAAGAAACCACCTTCTTACATGGGTGAGCTTTACACGGAGTCCTATCAGGTCTGAGTTCAGTGAGGCTTTCAGTACATCACATGCCTGAAGTCTGTGCTGGTTTAGACCCCCTTGAATTCTGGCCATGACAGGAGAGATAGCATAGGGGAAGGTTGAAGCGCAGTTGGTTTTACTTAACAGAGTTGGAATGAGTTCTAAGCATTTGGAGAAACTCTGTTTTAAAAATATCTTGCTGTTGGGTGATCATTTCCTGTTTGTGAACCATCGCTGAGCTGCTCAAAGAACTTCTATCCTTTCCATTATACTTAAATCTTGTTTAAATTGTGATATATTGCTCAGATAGCATAGGAAACAAGCTAATGCTTCTGCACATTTGTTGTGTTTTCTGTCCTGCCTTCAAGGTACCTTCTAACACTGTTCTTGGTGAATCCGAATGACAATGAATGAGGGCCATTGGTTTAGGACAATAGTAGCCATTGCTCAGACAGTATTATTTTTTGGATCATTGCACACACTGACTAGACTTGGGCTTTCTTTGTTGGCCTGAACCACTGTCTACATTTTTCTTAAATAACAGCCTGGGTGCTATAGCTCTGAACCAGATAAATTGTTTGCATTATGTGATCCTGAAAGAGGTATGGCAACAAAAGCATACAAACCATCCAAACCATGCTTGCATGTGAGATTAAAATACTGTATTCATAGGTTTGGAAAAGAATTGTGATTCTCCTTTAGGTATAATTTCAAATGTATTTGGACTAAAAAAATAAAATCACTGAAGAGGCACAGTGTTGGAAGAATCAGCCTGCATACGTGCATTGCCATCTTTCTTGCTTTTGAGATGCAGTTAATACAAAATACAGAAAGCCTAAAGGAAGAAGAAAGACTACTGGACAACAAAAAATATCAACGAGTGAAAACTCACATAACAATTCTTGACAGCCACAATTACCTTTGGCCTGCAGCTGGTCATGAGACTGGCAGATACCAGCTGGGCAAAGCGTACCAGGAGATATCCAGAGCAGCCAGACAGAAGGGTTCTGGAGCACCTCTGTAGTGTATCTGGCAGCCCTGATCTTCTGTGCCTGCTCAGTGAGGAACATAAATAGTGACTTTCATCTTCCATGACCAAATAGGATAGCCTGAATGGCCCACGTAAAATCTTCTTCAAAGAGTCAACTGATGCTTGGTGTAGGCATACTGAATTCCTGGCTGGGCTGAGGTGGCTGCAGACTTCTTAGTTTTTGCTTCAGTCCTTTCCCATCATGGTACATGTACTGCCTTATTTAACCTCTCAATAATGGTAGGCATCACTGTGGTGAGCAAGGCCAGGATATGATGGGGAAACTCAGTTTCTCTGTGAGAAACTCTCTTAGGCAGTAATTAGCCAACTTATACCACTTCAGTTTCACAGAAGCTTCTCTGTAATTACATATTTGATCTTTAGGCCTCTTAGTCAGAGATCACTTTCCAAACTGTGTTGTCAAGTCATGTAAACTAGCAAATAAAATAACAACATCCAAGAAATAAATCTCTTTCTTCCAATAATCCAGGTTCCATTGTACACGGAGTAAAATTGCTTTCCATATCACTAGGATTGTTGGCACTTTTGAAGGTCCTACAGAGATCTATAAAGCTTTAAATATGTGTAATTACAGTTACCTATATAAATGCCTTCTTTAAATCTGGGATGATATGCCTAACTTCAATTTTAAATTATGCAAATTGTCTGCTAAACTCCTAGCCATATCCACTTTTTGGAAGCCAAATATATCTATATGTATATATAGATATACACACACATTCACACCTTATGCATTGCAAGACAAAATTTGGGCTTCTTCATTCAAGAAAATTTAAGACAAACAGAAAAGAGACTGGGCTTCAGAGCCCAAGAGATTAAAAGGAATCAAACCTTCTCAGTGATCAAAGAAAGAAGCAAAAAGGAATCTGGAAAAAAAATGCAGGCAAAAATAAACTTTAAAACCAGAAAAGAGCATCTGAAGAAAGTTTCAGCCTCAAAAGATTTGTGCTGTGAGTGCAGATCTCTGATAGACAGAGGAAGTCTATAACCTGAGACTTATAGGGCTTTGCATTATTGAGACATACAGAAGTATTATTTTCCCAGAGCCCTAAAGAAACAAGACATTGCTTTATTAGAAAATAAGCAATTTTTTTATTCACAGCAATTTCTTTTAGAAAACAACTCTGTTGTGTTTTATTATAGACATAGTGAGAGAGAGATTGGAATATTCACAAAATTTGAGGAAAAACGAGACTTCAGGGTTTTTTCTTACTTATTTTCCCCCAAAATAATCTAATTTCTTAGCCAGCTTAGACTCCTTGCATTTCTTATGCTATTATTTCACAATGGATCTAAGTGATTTCCTTGATATCTCTGGAGAATTACCTTCCCAGTACTCCTGTGGCCTTAAATGAGGAACTCTTTGCACCTGTGAGGACATAACACAGAAGTGAGCTGGGTTTCTGCTGTCAGTGCTGTATCACAACCTGCTTTGTCTCTCCTGCAGTTTGAGATGCTGAGCTAGGGAAAGCTGGCATTTAAATTGCCTCAGCAGTAGATGCCTCTTCTGTGCCTGGCATTGATAGTCCAATCCTGACACCATGTGATTTATCATGTACTTGGGCAGTTTTTCTTTGTGCTATTTTTTCTTGGGGTTTTTTCATTATTATTGACATGTTTGTTTCAAGTTTTGCTACTTTGTTTCTGCAGGGAGTACCAGCTGGGACTGTATTTCACACTTAATGGCTGAAAGCTTGAAAGATCTCAGGTTTAACACAGAAAAAATGTAAAGGGTGTTTAACCACAAGTCTTCACGCAATAATTTTTCTGAATACAGTCTCCTTCTCTTCTTTCCATATATCTGCAGGTCTCTCATGACTTTGCAATCAATTTCAATGAAGACAACCCAGAATGTGCAGGTAAAGCTCAAATTGGGACAGACTGCTATATTTTCGCTGTGTGCAAAATGTGACTGTGTTTTTTGTTGTATCACCTGAGTATTATTCAAGGCGGTCTTTTAAAGAAAGTAGCTAGGATTTCAGACCTGACAGGCTCCAAGCCTTCGAGCTTAGCTTTAGAAACCTTCTATTGTATTGCCATACAATAATTTCCTGAAAAGTAGGTCCCTTTGAAAGTACACCGTGGTGGACATTCAGCACTTGTATTTTGCAAAATCACTAGCATTTCTGAAAACTAAAGCTATGTCTTCTGAATTCATTCAAGATCTTCAGGTACATCAACATCATAGGTTGTGCAGCTAAGAAGGGCAAGACATGAAAAAGCAGGCTGTGAACCTCTCAAAGATTCCCTTGGTTTAGAGCCAGTTCTTTGGCCAGACTGTAGCAACAGTAGCCTGCTGCTTGTCAGCCCGGCAGTGTCCAACACCAAAGGGTCAGGGAAGTAGGTGAGGACTACTGTGGTAGAAGGAAAAATACTGCAAATGCAGCAGGAGGCTGTTTTAACACAGTGTAAGATATTTGTGCATTTTAGCAACAATCGCTAATCCTCAGTAGTCGGAGGCCAGATTCATGGAGAAGATGCTGCTGTATGCCTTGTATTTGTGAGGTCTGCAGTGACTGGTGCTGTTTTTGTAAAAGACAATAACAGGAAAATAATCTCCAAACAGAATAACAGTTGAGAGTCTTGGTCGGATGATCACTGCTGTCTAAAATTCAGTTTGTTATTCTCCCTTATCCTTCTGCTTCCACCTGAATACTGAATGGGTCTTTCAAAATGCTCTTCCTTTTCAAATTCTCAGGTTTACTAGTGTCTTTCTTTCAGGCATGGTCAGCAGAACATGTTCAGGATCAGAATTAAGATGCAAAGAAATGAAGTGAGGAAGAGAGGACAAGCAATTCAAGGGAAAGATACATTAAAAGAATTCAGAGTTCATGCATCTTAAATGCAAGACCTCTGTTTTTGGTTCAGTGGGCATTCCTGCTTTGTTGTTGCACTTGGATTGTTGGACTGCCCCAGCCTCTGCAGTTCATGTGCTTGAAATGTAATTGGGCATAAGTCCTACAGCTGCTTGATGTGTTCACACAGCTTCTTACATTGCTTTTAAGGAGTTCAAAGAAGCAGGTTACATATATGCATCTAGAAGTGCCTGTAAGCTTGTGAGCCAGATTGACGTTGAGACTTTAGTCACACTGACGGTGTGGAGATGGGGTGGGGAAAGCAAAACAGACCTCAGAATTTTGTCTGGACCACCATATTTAGTAATGTGTTATTAAAACTGTTAACAGTGGTCAGCATTAGATGATAACATACTTATGCAGGTAGTGTTTAAACACAGCTTTGTTTCCCAATCTAAATGCGGGCTATTTGTGACCCTCTGCATACTTCAGATAAAAGCTCTAGCAGTCCATGCAGAGAAGACTTTTTTAATCCCTCCTTTGCTGCCTCTTTTTAGTCCAAGGCTAATTCTTTTACCACACTGGCATTAATGATATCATATCATTAATCATATCAAAAATCATATCTATGTAGTGCCAGCAGCAGATGAGTTTGGACAGACAAACCCTCTGCAAGTTAAGCATTTACTATCCAAACCACACTGTATGCAAAATAAAATGTAACAGTGGAAATTAAAGGGATTTAAAGAAAAGGGAGGAGCTGCTCTGTGAGGCTTGGCTTATGTCACTTAATATTTGTTATACATTTAAACTTTATTTAGTTTTTTGCATAAGATTCTAAGTTAACCCATTGACTGAAAGGGGTTCTAGGCCTAAGAAAATATAAAAAGACGGTTGCAGCACAACCAGAAGGCCAGGGAAGAAATTTTGCAGCATTTATCTGCAAGATATAAAAAGCACTTCTTTGTCATAAATGATACGTTTTTAAATAATATCCATCTGGGTGAAAGCAAGAAAAGGAGACAGACCAGAAAATATGTTGTTTAATCATCTGCTGCAGCTTGCTCATCTGCCTGTCGTGGATGCTTGATTAGTTCCTACCACCAATTGTTCTGTGATGCTTTCTAGATGCTCTCACCATATTAGGTGACACAGGGAGCAGTAACACCAGCATGTTATGTGAAAAATGATGCAAGACTGAGAGGGAGACAAAGTGCTTAGTGAATATCCTTGTGATATTCTGGCATATTTGCCAGAAAACAAAGGAAAATTGCTGAAGAGTATCTTGTTTTACACCAAGAAAAGCAGTTGAATGCAATATAAAAAGTATGTGTCTATTTTGTCTTTGAGAAATGAATTCCCTTTGTTTGTGTAAGTAGAGCTTTTGCTGGCATAAGGTAGTATGAAGCATCATTCTGCATACAAGGACTGTGTATTGATATGAAAATCACTGGAATTCATAAAATATGGATACCTTCACCTTTTCCTCCTCTGTTAACACTTCCATTCTTGAAAATTTTAGTATTTATAGCTTTATATTTAGTATATTTATAGCATATTATTTTTATAGTCTTATAATTAATATTTTCTTTATTGTCTGAGGAAGAAATTAGGTGACAACCTCTAATCTGAATGAATGCTTCTACACATCCATCTAAAACTGATCATTATATGCATACACTGTATTACATTGGAGCTATTGAAAGTGGATTCCAAATAAAAATGTAAAGGGTTGAATTGTGAAAAAAATGCATATTGTCTGTGTCTAAAATAAAGGAGTACAAGAGGAGTGAGCTGCAAAGTAATCCACTCAAATAACCTGTTTGGTTGGGATTGGATGGACAGTAGATAGTTCTAAAATGTATTAATCGGAGATAGCAAATAAGAAATTATACTTCTAGAACATGTTTCTTTCTAAGATGAGACCAACTTTCTGACATGAACGATGCTAAGTCTGTGTTGAATGCGGGGAGTAAGGCTTATCTTGTACTATTTTAATGTGTTAGAAAAAAACTACAGTGTTATCTTGTCATCAGCTTAGGGAAGATTTATGAGGCCTTCATGCAAGGTCAGTAAGTATATGTAAAGAAATCCTTGGCAAGTTTAAAATTGAGAGTTAACAAAAGGTCAGTTTTGCAATATGTAATTTAGTCGGTGGAATTGCCAAGGGAAATTTTGTAACATTACTTTACATTTTAACCAATCACAGCTATAACTGGAGCAAGTTCTTTTGTCTGTTGGCACTGCAATGCAAAAATATGTCTGTAACCATCTACAGAGTGATAAGACTGTGTTCTCCACCATTTTTTCATGGGAGGATTAAGTATGTCCCTGTAAAACAATTACAACTCCCTGTTCTCAGTAAGCAATCTGCAGCCATATATCCTGGAAACATGGATGAGTAAAATCTCATGAGTGAGCTAGTCTCAGTGCAAACTGAAACTAGCTTAGCATCTTAGTAAAGTCATTTCATTCTTCAGCATTCTCAATGAAGCTCTTCAGTCTATCACTTTCTTTCCAACTTTAGACCTCTAATCCGTTAGGTCTGGTAAACTGTGAGTTCTGAATGTGGAGGCTGACGTGCATCACTTGAAGAAACCCTTCTTCTCAAATGATTGAAAACACCAATTTCCATTCTGTGATCTGTCAAGTGTGTCAGCAGGAGTCTGTGCTCCCTGATCTGACTATATCCTGAAATGATAAAGGCAAAAATAGCTAGTTTTCCATCAAAACTTCTCAACTAAAGCTCATTTTTTCTGTAGACTGCAAAGCATCCTGCTGTGTCCTCCAAGATTTCACAGCTTTTGGTCATAGTCAAATTCAACCTGAGCAATTATGCAAATGCACCCTGAAAAATTTTCTTAGCACAGGGGAGTTGGGTATTTGAAATTATGTCTGAATTCCTTAACAGATTTAGGGTGTAAGTACAAAGGGCAAATTTGTTGGCAACTATCATGATAAACAAAAATACTTATCTGAAGAAGAAAGAGAAGTGTTGAAGTGTTTTTCTAATTTTTGTCTACTTTTCAGCATGAATCTTTGCTGGTGATCAGAAAATGATCACTCACATCTTGAACTGAAATGGGTGGAAGCTATGGTATTGCAAGGTGATACCTGGAAAACATATTAAAAACTACTGGGAAAGAGAAGCATGGTATAATGAACTCTATAATACAAACTAGATTCAAGACAGCTAGAGATAGCTTCTTGGAAATTATCTGAAGTTGCTAGTCCTTGCTAATCATGTGATACTTTTAATGTATTCATTAAGAACCTGCCTTTCATTTGCATTTTAAACAAGCATGAAGTTGGCAATGTGCTCCAAATTTACTTTTGTTTTGTGTGGCTTTTCATGCCAGGAATACAAGGTGTTGTGGAGGCTTATCAGAGCTGCCTTCCCAAGCTGCAGCTGTATGGGCCAACAAACATTGCTCCCATCATCCAGAAAGTGGCAAAATCAGCATCAGAGGAGACCAACACCAAGGAGGCCTCGGTAAGGAAAGAATGCTGTGTTTGCCTTTTTTCTTGTCTTATGATAGATCTCCTACAGGCCATCAAAACAAGGCCTTTTCATGTATGCAGATCATGCCTTTACAGTTTTTACTAACTGTTTTCATAGAAGGCAGCTTGTTCCTGTAGCTGGAGCCTTTATATCTTCAATAGTCACAACTTCCCCCACAGTTCTATTTCCTGCTTTTAGAGGTGTTTTACTGTAACACACCCAGTCCTTCACTATGGAAATGTAAATGGCACCACTAAGGTTACAAAAATTTAGGGGCTAGAAGCCCTAGAAGTCTTGATCATACAAAGAGATGAGTTCAAATGATTCCCTACACAAACTATCCAGTTTCAAGTCTCTTGCAGAGGCTGTAATAAAACTTTTCTGTTCACCTAGGGGATTTTTCCAACCATTCATTTAAAAACTGTAATGATACAGTTTTCAACTTGCTATTACCGCTGGAGCATCTTGTGCCTTTTAGAAATCAGAAGACAAGTCTATTAGCCTGCATCTGATACAAAAGCCAGGACAGATTTCTTGGGCTAAAAGACTCAGCATAGATCATGTTTTAAATGTACGTCTTTGAAATGCGTGGGAGAAAGGGAGAATGAGATGGAGAGAATATGTGAGTGAATAGGTGTGAAACATTTACAAAAACAGTGCTTTGGAAGCAAAGGATATAAGAGAGACCTTGTATACTGCAGCAAGAAAAGTGCCTATGTCTAGGAACAGAATCGAGCTGTGCATTGGCATACGTCTCATCACCAGACCTAAAGTTCTCTCCAAAATTTTTTTTATGTGCTGAACCTTTTTTAAGTCCTATTAAGGCAGGAGTTCCCAAATATTTCTGTTCATGAGTGTGGGCTTTTGACTGACATTTATAAGAGCATGTAGGGACAGGAAATGGGATAATGGCTTCAAACTGAAAGAGGGTAGGTTTAGATTAGATATAAGGAAAAAATTATATACTGTGAGGGTGATGAGGCACCGGAACAGGTTGCCCAGAGAAACTGTGGATACCCCATCCCTGGAAGTGTTCATGGACAGGTTGGATGGAGCTCTGAGCAACCTGGTCTAGTGGAAGGTATCCCTGCCCATGGCAAGGAGGCTGGAACTAAATGGTCTTTAAGGTCCCTTTCAACCCAAACCATTCTATGATTCTATGATTGTTACTCCACTGTTATTTCCAGGATCTTAATAGTGCTTAGGGTTCCAGTCCTAAAATGAGAAATTGCTACATTTGAATTTCCATACCCACATGAGTGAGTTAACATAAACATTTTTATACTGCACAAGGTTAAGCAGCTTTGGGACAGCAACTAACGATAAAATTTTTCTCTTCTTGTCCAACAACTTCAGCAATACTTCATCTTGCTGATTCTGACGGATGGTGTCATCACAGACATGGCCGACACCAGAGAGGCCATTGTCCACGCCTCCCACCTTCCCATGTCAGTCATCATTGTCGGGGTGGGGAACGCTGATTTTAGTGACATGCAGATGCTGGATGGTGATGATGGGATCTTGAGGTCTCCCAAGGGCGAGCCTGTGCTTCGAGACATTGTCCAGTTTGTGCCATTTAGGAACTTCAAACATGTAAGCTGATTTTTCCATCCATTCCACAGAAGGGTGAATGTGTATAACACATAGTGCATGTTCCCCGGGGCTGGGCTTAACTTTGCATGTGCATGCAATGTTTAGTAAGTGTATGGTATTATTGTATCAGAAATAGAGAAAAAAGAAGGAATCAGAATGAAATGTGCTCCATTAGTGAGTTGGTGAGGGTGGGGAAGGAAGACATGAGGCAGGATCCATGTGCTTTTTGTGGTGCCAATCCTTGCTTCCACTTTCTCCCAGGTTTTAGTTTGGTTATCCTTCTGGTGTCTCTTTTCCATTCTCTTTGCACTTGTTCTATTAGGACTACTGTGTTCTGCTTTCCATCTCCCTTCATTTCCACAGGCAGATGAAATGGCTGTGAATTTGTTCTCACAGTGTTCCCCAGGAGGCTGTTCCCTCATTAAAATTTAGTTCCCTAAGTTCTCAAATGCAGGACTATCCACCCACAATGTCCTGGTTGCCTCCAAACCCTTTCCCACATTCTGTACAAGAACACAACCAAGAAAGTGGCATTACTAGGAGCTTTCCTGTGCCCTCAGCCAGCTGTTCCTGACTGAGCCCAGTGTGGTGCAGAAGACACTCTTTAGGAAAGAAAGGAACAGGACCAGCATTAAATTGCCAAATCTAAAATAATGCATTGGTCATGTACTTTTCTTCTCAGTTACCTGCCCTACATTGCAGCATCTGCCCCAGGGACTTTTCAGCAGCAGGGTAGAGATAGTGTTCACCCACAGAAGGGGCTTTCCCACACACAGATGGGTTTTTCAGAGCCCTTTTCCTCCATATGGAGGCATGCATTATGTTCCTCTGCAATGCTGATCACATCTATTTCCCTTCATTTTTCCGTTTTTCTCTCCCTTCCTTCCCCACACTTCTTCTATTACATTTATGTGGTTCTCCAGACTGTTTTTTCTTGTTCACCTTTGTCTAGGAAGGATATCCTTAGTATTTGACTTGAGAATTTCTTTTCTCACAGTGTAACTGACTCACTCTGCTCATGAGATTGATTCTCCCAATCTGCTCCCATACACTAGGGATCCTTAGATCTGGATATGTCAATCAGAAGTTCTCAACTCTGGGCTGGTTTTGCTCTGCATATGGCTTTACACTTCTTACATTTCTTTAGGTTTTCTAGGCTTTTTGTTGCCATTGGAGATTTTTTTCTCTTTGCTATTTCCAAAATACCTTCATTTTATTTTTCTCTTCTGAAGAGTTGTTCTTTTTTCTCACTCCAAAATACAATTTTGCTGTATTTGTCTTAGATGTAGATGCACTTCTTACTTTCATAAACTCTAGTAAGGAGTAAGAGAAACAAACTTGTTCCTCTTTTCCTTCTACCTTTATGTAAACAATGGATCCCCACAGGAGGCAAAACTCACCGTGTGCTATTAGTTTGGTGACACCATGCCAAATAACTGCAGATTGGCTACTGAATCATAGATACACATATTTCTATGCTGCCAGTGGCACACAGTCACCTATGTGCTGAAACAAATATGAGCACGACGAGCTCATAGCTTGTGATTCCTTCAGCAGATAATCACAAGTGCATAGTGCTGCACTGTAGTCTACTGTAGAAGTGTCCACAGCAGGATTATTTATGGGCTAGTAGGTAGACCTACTTTTAATTAGTTGAAAACATGTTTCTGCAAGGAACTGGCAAAGCCAGCTGCATTTTTTTACTTTTAGTTTTGCTTTGTATTTTATACTAAAGCTCAAATAATCTCTGATTTAATAGATTCATGCTGACAGCTGCAGTTCTGGGTTCTGAATATATTGTGCCCCTGGTGTTAACTTGCAAGTGAATCTATGTGATTTTTTTTTATTGCTAGAATTGGTCAAACAACAATCTAAATCAGCTAAAAAGAATTTATGCTTAACTTCCTCAGTACTGAGAGAGTATAGCAATCTTAATGTATTTTTCTTGTTAAACAGTGATATTTTTCTCCCTCTTTCTTTCAGTAGCAAAGATAATATATAGAGATAGATTTGTATTTGCTCTATCAGAAAAGTCAGTATATCTTATGCAACCTGATATTAGTCTGTTTATTGTGATCTTTCAGCTTCTCGATAAATGTCAGCGTAATGAATGAGTGCCTGTAACAATAGCTACTTCTTGTTGAATTTCTTTATTATCAAAGCCCGAATAATATCTCCCTCTGAACAAAGTGACATTCACAGATATCTTGCTTACTTAGCACAAACAAAAGGCCATGTATCTTGCATCAACTAGTGAAATAATTTGTCATGGGAGAAATGAGCATGATATTTTGATTCAAACTTATTTTCCCCCACAGAAAAATGCAGATTTTACACATTTGGGAGATCCATTCTGATCAAACACAAGAACATCATCAGCATATTATATTTGACAGCTTTAAGCAAAATATATATTTAGTTAAAAATCACATCCCTTTTGTCAATGTACCTTGTGTTTAGCTTATTAAGTAGAAAAAAAATGTTGCAGGATCTTTTTAGAAAGATTACAAATCAAGTTGTGTAAGGTTTATAGGTTTTTCTGCTAAATCAAGTATTTTTTTATGCCTAAATCCATATTATTTCTATTACTGACAGAAGGAGAGAAGAAAATGTTATGTGTGAACATTTATTTTTTGTTTTGCTGCAAGAGTAAACCAAAATTCATCTGGAGTCAATCCAAACAATATTTTTTTTCATTACTTCAATTCTCATGACAGCTTGGAACTCAAAATCTCATATCTATCCAAAGGGATCAAAAATAATCTATGCAAAAGCTGCCCCCGTGAGAAAATGGAAAGGGGTAAGAAGGAAGTCGTAAAAATAACCTGTAGAGTGAATTCCTTTTATTTTATAAAAATAAACGTTGACTTCAGAGAACGTTCTTATCCTGCACAGCACTCATACAGGCATTTAACACATTTCAATTAGTTAGGGTTATTTACATACCTAAAAACTCATACTCATTTCAATGTTTTACTGGCTTAAGACTCAGTGTAGACAGAAGGTTTTATTATAGGGGTTTAATGCCCTATGTGATGTAGTGTATCAGAAGCACTTTAGTAAAGTATCTAGTCTTTTTTCTCTCTCTTTAAGGAATATCTCTAAAGCCATCAAAATAATAATAACAATTGTAGTGACTCTTGGCAAATCCTGTAGTTGTAAAGGCTTGATAAAAATCAAGGTAACCATTAACACTTAAATATATATCCTATTGTATAGTGGGTAACATGCAATTTGCTAAAGGAGAACATAACAAACAAAGGGAACATATTTTCCCTTAACCTAAGTGATACTTTTGTCTCTATAATCATCACCATCCCAGTAATGTGAGTGTCCTTCACCTGAAACTGTAGAACATTGATGCTCACAGTCACTGAAAGGTAGTTGAAGAAAATTACCTATCTCAATCCACTCACAGTCATATTTTAAGAGCTCAACTTCTCTACCTTTGTAACGCATGATAGATTGACTGTGCACAAATCTGATGCCACAGATAGATTGTATTCCATTCTGCATTGTATTTAATCATAAAGGCTAACAACTGTGACTTAATAACATCTCTATCACAGAGGCATGTGGGCAGCCCAGCTCTCAGCCACTGCAAGGAACAATGTTTTGCACTATGCATTGTAATTAAAGATTAAGCATAGTGAAGCTACAGAAATGAACCAACAGTCAGCTGTGTTTGTAATACACACCAATAATAGACTCATGGGGATTATTTTCTTGCTGCTGACTGATCTGATTGTTGTGTATTAGCTATCAGTTGAGAACTATTCACCTGGAGATGCTTATTGCTAGGATGCTCTTCTAGCAGTTTAATAGTGGACAAAATGTTACAGTAAAACATTTATGCTCCATCTGTATTAAAAAGCCAGCAAAGGTAATCCTTACACAGCACAGATGAACTGGATCTGGATTTTAGCTCAGAAGTTACTGAGTCTACTTACTTATACAAATCTTGTTTTTGTACCATCTGGTCTAGAAATAAGAGTGCTTTACCACCACTAAAGTATGTAAGGTACAAATGGTCCAAATGCTCAGACAAGAAATCACCCCTAACCCTGTTTTTGGGATGCTCCCTGATAAAAAGAGCTCCAGAACCAACAGACATCACTGGCACAAGGAAATTCAGTAAAGCAACACTTGTCCATATTCAGACTGAAGCCCGGAGACAAGCCAGCTACCGCAGGGCAACTCTGCGTGGGGCCACACATTGCCTGTGAGCCAGCGGGCACAGTAAATGTTTTAGCTTAAACCTCAGTGAAAGGCTTTTTAGTTGAGGACTCCTCGAGTGGCAGTGATTCAGCTGTGCATCTGAGCCCTGACAGAGCCTATTCTGAAGGGCTGACCCTTTGTTCAGGAAGAATGGATATGGCGTCAGAAGAGAGAAGTGGTGAAGGGAGGAGGATGCAAAGAGGGGAGTGCCCATAACAACAGCCACTCCTGGCCCAATGTTCAGGCTTGAGCTACATATGAACTAGAGAAGCTGATGGCAGGCAAGTGCTCCTTCCAAGCATTTTTGAAGACAGAGCAGAGTGAAGTTTCCTGATTGCTACAGCCTGTGTGTGCAGGGATAGTCCAGGGCTCTTCCCTCACTCCCTGTTTCTACCCTTTATGTATTGTTGTATCTTTGGTAAAATAGCACAGATGCAGGCTAAGGTATGACATACCAGGAAGGAGATTTAAAACCCAGTAATTTTCAATAGCAATGTAGAAATAAGCCATTTGCCTGATTACAAAGGGTATATTCTGATGATTTTAGTTGGAATTAGATGACCTTTAAGGTCCCTTCCAACCCAAACCATTCTATGATTCTGTAAAGCAGGTTTAGGCAAGAATAGGGAAACTCTGGAAAACCATGTATTTCACTTTTCAGGATTAACACAAATGGGTTCTGTTACTGTGTTACACCTGAGAGCAGCAGCTGCACTGTCACACGAAGTATGCTCTATGCTTTGCCAGTTTGTTCATGCAGAAATGTTCCAGGCTGTTTTGCCTGCACAAATATTTTGGTATCAATGTCACAGTACGGAAATAGCAGTTCATTTTATTTGTTACTAATACCATACATGAGTCAAATTACAAAAAAAACCAAACAAACAAAAAACCAAAACAAAACAAAACAAAAACAACAAAAAAAACCCAACCAAACCAAAAAATGACAAACTTCTGTTTCTGATTTTGCTACCAGTATCTTTATTTGATTTGTAGTATTGTAACATTTGATACTGGAATTTCTAATAGCCCTGGGGCTTTCTGCACCCCTGGATTAGTGTGTCTATGAATAGTTTAGATTCAATTTAAGACTCTGGAAGGATAAGAATCCCACCCCAGCAAACAGAATAGGTCAATAAACAGTAAATACAACTGCTTTGTGACAGGGTAGTTTTGAAACCTGGCTGGCAATATAACAAACAGTGAGGAGGAAAGTGTACATTAATTTGGAAAAAAGTACTTGGTGTGCAGAAGAAATGTCATCCAGCCACCAGCTGAGTTCCCATACATCGTCTGAGCTGCAGTCTGTGCTCTGTCTGGAGATAGATGCCAGTTTGAGAGGTTTAAATTAATGTGTTTAAATATTTGCATTTTTTACTGCATTTTTGTGGTGGGCTCAGAGGGGACATGGCTGAGCAGACTGGCTCCAGAGGACTTGGAACCAGCTCAGCCCAAACATTTGGAAACAAGCAAATCCAAAATCTGGGGCAAGTGGGTGCATGGGAGAACAGGAGTCCAGTTTTGTCACTGCTGAATTCAGGGGCTGAGGAAAATCCCTGCATCACATGCAGGTAATGGTTGCCCACAAAACATCTACAGACCCCTCTGCTTAATATGAAGCCTTGTGGGGTGTGAGGCAGCAAGTCTGTGTTGTCGATGGAGGGCATGGTTTCTTACTGCACTGAGGGGGAACCCTCCTCCCTGCCTGGAGTGAAAGTCAGTGGTCATCTCTGCATCCATCTCTACATTTTCAGGGTTATCAGTTCTTAAATTCTGGTTGTCACTCGCCATTTATATGTTGCAGTAAGAGCTTTAAAGCCTCCACAAAGCCTAGGATTGAAGCTTTCTTGTAACCATGGTTTAATTCCAATAAAGACAAAGTATTTTCATTGAATTAAAAAATTTCCCCAGCCATTAAAACACCACACCAGACTCTGAAGAGCAGAATGGTGATGAAGGCCTCCCTTTCACTGTGATGTCCATTCATGTTCAGCTTCAAGCTCTGCATATTTCCTCGTTGAACACTGATGAAGTCTTTGCAGCCCTTTTTGTTGCGAATGGTGCTCTCTCAGAGTGCAAGGAAGTTCTGTTACGCTGAACTTAAATAGTCCAAACAGACCTGAAAAACATGCAGAGAACTTTTAGCTGTAGTGCACTTTCAGGCAGCCATAGCTGCATACCTAAATTGACTCATAAATTGAGTTTCAAGCAATAGTGCCTTTCACTTTGAGTCTTTTTGGCCTTCCATTTCTGTACCATAATCCTTGATCTCATGGCACCCACGCCTCTAAAACCCATGGCACTTCTATCAGAGAGCCACGTTAATGTTTGTGTTTTCTACCATTTCCTGCAGGCATCCCCAGCTGCTCTAGCAAAAAGCGTTTTGGCTGAAGTTCCAAACCAAGTCGTGGATTATTACAATGGCAAAGGGATAAAACCAAAATGTATGTCAGAGTACGAGTCTTCCAGGACACTAGCTCCATGAACCTGCCTGCACTCTTTTACAAAATTAAAAAAGAAAAATGCTACTGTCTACAACTCCTGTACTTAAAAATGAAACAAAACAAAAAAAATAGCACGTTTTGGTGATTTTTAACTAAAATAACCTTTTTCTTTTTTTTTTTTGCATGTGTAGCCTAAAGGCTTAAATCTGTTAAGCGGTTGTATTGTTGAAAACTTTTTATGAGAAAAAAAATCCCGAAAAAAAAAGTGAACTCTTTACATTACAGCATGTCGCCTTGAAATAAAAAGTTATCTGTATCTGGTTTTTATACAGGTTTGTTGAAATTTTGCTATATTTCTTATCTTTACACTGTAAAGCATTTTGAAATATTTATTGAGAGTCATAGACAAAATGTCTTTGGTTTAATCTGCTAAGAACTGAGAGATTTTTCAAAATGGCAGATGCATGAACTGTATTTTGCATGTTTAAAATAAAAACAACACAGTTTTGCAGTTGTCTTTATTTCTCTCTCTGACACAAGGCTGCCTGCTTTCAACTTCCATATTCCAAAGACAGGGTAATAAAGTGTTTCAAGAGATACCTGACCTGAAGCATGGGCATTTCTGATGTTAGCAGCTTATACTATGGACACCAAACATGCCCGCTCAGCCTGGAGCCTGAGTAGTAATTTTTCAAAAGCGTGACACATCCAGCACTTATGGAGGGTTTGGACCACAGCAGTAAACAGGCTTGGAGGGCATGATCCATCAGCATTGCATGTCTTAGAATACACCTACTTAATCCAAACTATCTGGCTGGCTTTCAAATGGGTTGTATTTTGGCTACTTTATAATGTCTTATGTTTGAGAATTCTTATTTTGTTTCATTTGTATTTTTTAATCTCACATCCAGTATACAACTTTGTGTGACATGTTTTCCAAAAGAAATTTTGCACAGCCTGATTTTGTGACAACTGGTGATTTGTAACTTCATCCTCACACAGATCACTTGTGTTTGAGAGAAAAACTGGTTTTGTACCAAAAGAATATTTAAGCCACCTTTTTTTTTTTTTAAAGAAAAAGAGGACATACAAGAACAAATTGGTAGTGGATTGATCTTTCAATTGAAATATTTCTGTATATAAATGAAGAAATTACATAAGTGTTATTTTTAATGTTTGAATTTTGGCTTCTTCTTTTGCTGAAAATCAGTAGTGAAGAATGTGACTTGTTAAAAGCTAAGGATAAAATTTGACAAAAAAATAATTTGTGTGGGTCTGTCCAAAGGGCATGGCTTTGGACAAGTTATGCTCCTACCAAACTGAAAACATTCTGTTGCTAATCCCAGAAGAAGCTGTTTTGGGCCAGTGCTGAATATTTTGGAAAACCTCCCCTGTGAGCAAGGGATTTTGTTTTAGAAATACATATTTTTAAATGAGTTTGCTGGTAATGTAGAACTCTAGCTCCCTGATTCTCCTTTAGAAGTAACTTCCATGGGATCAGCTTTGATTGAAGGTTTTGTACTATGAAATGAAGGCAGTGGGATAGCCAAGATACATGGGGCTGTCTCCCCAGCACATTCCGTTCTGCTCCATCTATATCCTGCAGTGTAATCACTCATGCTTGCTAGTAAAGATTCCTTCAGCTGACCAGATATTGAACAGCAGCCAGTCATGGGTATAAGTTGTTTGGAGATGTCCTGACTGATAGATCTCAAATCCACACTCCCATGTAACGGCTGGCACTTCATGTGAGAGCTTCCCCTCCCTCTGTGGATGTATTTCATCTGGAAGCTACTGTGATCTTCCTTTATATCTCGTATACCACAAATCTTAGTTCTGGTCTACAACATCTCGAGTTTCTTACTCCCATTTCCCCCTTTCTTCTCTTTCCTTCCCTATTCTCAGAAGGACCATTTCTGAGCCGTTAAAGCACATGACTGACAAATCAATGACTCCATGTTCTTTGCTCCTCCAATATATTACTTTGTAATCTTGGCCAAGTTGTTTAACTATTCTGCACCTCAGATTCCTCATCTGTAAAACGAAGGTCACTGCCATGTATTCATAAATATCTCACAATAATACTGGGGGACTTCAATATTTGAAAAGTGATTTGAGATCCTGAGAGGCATGATGGTGCTCTCACCATCTAAAGAGTGTTACTTTACCCTGGGATGTGCATTTAGGGATGTAATGCACAGCCACAGAAGGGTTAAGCCTCTTTTTTATTATTTGCCAGGCTGTGAAAGTAAACAAAAGCTTTCAGCAAGGAAAAATTAGGAATCAGATGAATTGTTCTTCTGGTACATATGATCTTTGACTAAACTGATTTTTGAAGTGTTTATGGTTACACAGAATTGGGCAGTTACAGCTCTTCATTAGCAGAGGTGTTACAAGGTGCTTCTATAATGTAGCATCACATAAAACACAGAGATCAACAGGTTATTGTATGCTGAGCTGTATAAACCATCAGTCATTTTGATGTGTGTAGTTGGTCTCTATAAGTGCCTCAAGAGAATCCCAGTTGCTGCAGATCTTTCTGTTTACTTCACACAATCCTGATTATAAATGTTGTCTGCTTAAAAACAAATCATTATCAGTGGTTAACATTGGTCAGCAATTCCATATCAGCCCTCCAGGTATTTGAAGAGACACCTCCACAATATTGAAAAATCAATTAGAAATCTCCTTCAATCTGTACAGATCTCAGCATGTCAAACAATCATGTAATAGTGTGGTGAGTTGGTATAGGATGCACAGAAGACAAAACTAGCCATATGGTAAAAGCTTTCTAATGAGGCTTTGAATGTTATTTTCATTGCTCCAAGCTACTCTGTGCAATAAAATAGTATGGACTTTTTGCAGGGTAATATCATTAAGTATATGAATATATCTCTGAAAAAGCATATTTTTCTCCTGTATTATCTACTTAGGGTTTTCACAAGGCGATTCTGCCTTTAGGCTGAACTGCAATCAGTTTCTCCTGCAGATTTTTTAGTGCAAACTTAAACTTCTACTACCTTTTGATGGATTGTTTTAAATTCTGAAAACTCCTTTAAAATAAATTATATCTTGTCCTTTAGAGATAATTGATGATCTAAAATATCTTCGCTGCCAACTGTATTCCTGCCTTCTTTTTTACTGTCTCTCAAACCCAATTCAAAATCCAGAAGTCCCAGAAAACCCAAAGATATTCATAAACCCTATTATCCCAAAATACATTAACATCTATTATTCTTGAGCCAGATACTGAACTGAGTTGTATCTTTGGTTTTTAGGGGAAACTAAGTCTACAACAATTTTTAAAAAGCAGTTATACACTGCCAAGCGCTTATTACCCTAAGGAAAAATCTATCCATGTGAAGTTCTTACCATGATAAGCAATACAGTGTTCTACAGAATTTGATGAAAGAGTCTACAAGTATGAAAGAAAAACAAAATTATAATACTAGTATTGTTTTAAAACATCTTTTAAACAGTCTCCAAATATCAAAAGTACATAAGTGATGACAGCTAAAAGGTTTAAAGTTTGATCTGTTAGAGACCTGCAGCAGGCAGTGGAGAACAGTGGTCTAAGCCAAGTCTTGCTGCAGGTTGCAGAGGTGATATTCCAACAAACACATGGGTGAAAGGCTCTAGTTCTGTGCAGATTTGTGTGACAAAAGCCCTGCAGCTCTGCAATATTCAACTGCATCCCTCAGGTTTACCCACACACCAAATATTCTGATAGAACAGCGTGTGGTTTAAGTGAGCTTCATTATTGCACTAAGTTCTTTGATAGTGAGTTTAAACAGAGCTACCTCCTTCAGTCTGGCTCTGTGGCTGCTCAAACAAGTCATGGCTAACTCCCAGAAAGAATTCGTTATTCAGATTGATATTCCTCACCTGGGACTATGGGTCTTTCAGTCATAACTCCTATGTAAATCTAAACATATGTCCAGTCTTTCTGGCATGAAGGAGTTACTAGACAAACTCCCTTTACTCCTAAGTAGCATGGACATTTCAGTCACAAAGCATTGGTACATTTACATTCACTTTTATTTTTAATAGGAAGGATAAGCCAGCTGATTCCTAGCACAGGTTTACACTTTTCAGGTTGGTTTTTTTCCTTTATTTATGGGAAGTGCCATTTTGCCCCAAGGAATATAGAGTTTATATCACCATTCATCCGTCACTCATAGGTCTTACTTGTATGTGCAGTCCTGGGCTGAAGAATTGAACTACACAAGAGGCAATTTCAGCAATTAGAGCTATATGAGCGATAATAGTCAGCCCAGCTGCACATTTTCTTGCAGCATTCACTGCAAACCATCAATGGGCTGCATGCCCACCCCCTCTTTTCTCTTTTTTCCAATTTCCTTGCAGAGCTGGGGAGATCCTCCAAACTGATCAGGTGAAACCTAGGTGACCTCTCTCCTGGGAAGGCTGCCAGTCCAAAAGTGTTTCCATTTCCTCATTCCTGCCATTATGAGGACTACCCAAGGCAGCAGACTGGGGGGGAAGGTTATTTTCTAATGTTTCATTCTCTTCTTTCCTTCCAAAAACGTGCTAGTCATTTCAACTGCTTTGCAGAAAGTCTTTTACTGTTGTGTTCAGGAGACACTTAAATTCTTGTTCCACTGATTAGAGCAAGCAGTTTGCCATCTGATTGCATTCAGAGTTGCAGTCATCTTGCTACACCCACTCCCCCCTACACACACAAAGTTCATGCCTCTTTAACACCATGAAAAGCTGCATGCACCAAAAAAAAAAAAAAAACAAAAAAAACCATTTGATTTTACATAATATTAAAAAGGAGAAAAGTACAGCACTAAAACTTATTTCTCCAAAATGTATGTTTGCCCATGTATTGCTTTCCAGCTTACTGGCGCATGAAATCCTGTGTCACCTCAGCTGTGCAGCACGCTACATGAGAAAAGCATTATGCTGTGGCAACAAGGCTAGCTTCAGGTGAGAGCATCAAGGGAGCCCTCTTCTCTGGCTGGGAACATCTGTCATGGCTTGGCAAATCACTTAATCTTGCTGTGTGCCTTGCTTCCACATCTTTAAAATGGAAGCAAATAGCATTTTGCTACTTCCTGGGGACTTTGGTGGGGTAAGGACTGTTGTGGGTTGTCACAGTGCTTACAAATTGGGAGTTAACACCTTTATCATTTTTAGGTTCATTCTTCCCCCTGATACAGAGCGGCAGCATAAGCTACTGATGGACCCCATTAGAAAACACATCTGCATTAAATTTAGCAACATCCCTGTTGCTGTTCTTAATGCCAGAGAGAGAGTAAAAAGATGCAGTGATCACTGTGATAGTGGAGATGACAACCTCAGAGAGGAAATATCCATTGAACTGTGAACTTGGGAGATGCATTTCTGAACACACTATGTGTTTATGTCTTAAAAGGACAAGAAGTAAACATGGGACAAGGGATGTTTATGTAGGCTGCTGGTAGTTTTCTGGATCACATTTTTGGGTGTGAACTGCAAAATTCTGCTCAGTTAACCACTGAGAGGTGCATACAGCCTCTCTCGGATCTGGTTAGCTGGCCACAAGCCTCAAGTGCAACACACACACACACACATACACACACACAGAGCACAGTGGGGGAGAAGAGGAGGTAGCAGGGTAAAGAGAAACCGTAACAGATATCAGCTGACCACGCTGAACACTCATGTGTCTTTAAAAAAAGAGACTTCTATTGAAACTGAAAGGGAATCTTGTGTTCATACCCCTTCACTATCCTACCAGCCGGAATGTCATCGCTGTGCCTGGCTGCCCAGAAACCTGCTGCCTGAGCCACCCACTTTACCAGTACCTTTCACTGGCTACAATATTAAATTTACTTCTGTAAATGTGGCCCTCCCCCTTATGTGGCCTCCACTCGCATGGAGCACAGAGAATCATTGAGTCATAGAATCATTAAGGTTGGGAAAGACCTCCAACATCATTGAGTCAACCCAGCACTGACAGGTCCACCACTAAACCACGTCCTTAAGTGCCACATCTACATGGTTTTTGAACACTTCCAGGGATAGTGATTCCACCACTTCTCTAGGCAGGCTTAACCACCCTTTCCATGAAGAAATTTTTCCCAATATCCAACCTTAACTTCCCCTGGCACAGCCTGAGGCCCGTTTCGTCTTGTCCTGTCACTTGTTACCTGGGAGAAAACACATGAATCTGCTAAGCTCCATACCTCATAGCTATTTGACAAAGCAGAGACGCTTTAACCCAGACACCCCCAAACATCTGCTCAACACCTGGGTAATGCAGGAAGGTTTTGAGTCCGTGTTCCTGCAACCCTGTGTGGCCAAGTGGTGCTCACCAGCAGTAAAACTCCACCTGCCGCTGGCACTTTCCCCTTATTGACACTTATTTGCTGGATTTCACTGGCTCGCTGAAGGAATTCAGGCACAGGAGCAATGGTAGGGACGGAAAGGTTGGGGCGGGGGGCAAAGGGTGCCTGTGGCTATTTCTGCACGTCTTCATCCGTCACCCTCTCGGGTGAGCTGTTCCCCCCGGCTCAGAACAGCCCCATCCGCCACGGGTGCTGCATCCCTTATGGGAAGCCGCTGGAGCCAGCCGTGTGGGGGAGAGAATGACGCACGACTACGACTTTGGGCTGTTTCGGGAGTTTTTATGTTAACTCTCGAGCTCCCCGCCTGCGCGGGCCGGAACCTTCTGTTCGGGGCAGCACGGAAGGTTTGCAGCGCCGTACGCGGAAGGCGACGGCGGCCCCGCCCCGGTGTCGGCATGGCGGGCTGGGGGAGGCTGGCGAGGCTCGGCGGGCGGCTCTGGGCGTCGCGGCGGCGCCGAGGGTTCCCGGCCACAGTATCGGCAGGGCTGGGAGGGAATGGGGCTTCTGCGAGGTGGGTGCGCGGGCGGGAGCGGCGGGAGGAGCGGGGGCTGGAGCGGTGCTCGCTCTACGCAGCCCAGAGGTGAGGGGCTCCTCGGCGGTCCTTTGCCCTCCGTGGCGTCTTGGGTCGCCACCCCTTGGAGAGGCCTCTTTGTGCAGCCTGCCGGCACTGCTTTGCGAGTGGTGGTGCTCCGGCTTACTGCTGGAGCCCTTCAGCCTTAGAAATGCCCCCAGCCTGTGTGGGGGTTCTGGCAGGACAGGCACGTTTACATCCAGAGCATCTTTGCTGCATAGTGAGCGACTTGACCTGCTGTGTTTTGGGTCGCCTTGGCCTGGCCCTGTGCGGTCACTGCTTGTGTCGTTAAACACTCCACCTCATTGTCCTTGCAGAGAACTGGGGAGCATTGTGGCTTTTCTGAGCCCTCACAGAAATTAAGGCAGGACCCTGAACTGTTTAGCGGTGAGTGTAGAACCAGAGATTGTTGGGGCTGGAAGGGAGCTGAGCAGCTCAGTTCAAAGCTGAGGTCTAGCTTCCTTCTCACAGTGTGGCCAGCTCTGAGGTTAGACCGTGTTGCACAGGGCTTTCTGCTTTGGGGCCTTGAGAGCCTCTAAGGACAGAGACTGCACAGCCTCTCTGATTGTCTTCAGGCAAAACACTTTTTCCGTACGTCAAATCAGCATCCCCTTTTCAGTTTGTACCCCTTCTCTCATTCTTCTGCATGCACCTCAGTAAATATCACCTGCTTCTGTCTTGTCAGTGACTTTCTCACAGGCTTTGGAAAGCTGCTGTCAGGTCCACCCTAGGCCACCTCTTTTCCAGACTAAACCAAACCCAGTTACCTCACTCCTTCTGTTAGGGCAGGTGCTCCAGCCCCTGGTATTTTTGTATAGCACAGCTGGATTCACTCATTTGTAAACATCCCATTTGTACTGGGGACCTGAAACTGGATTTAGTATTGCAGATGTGGTCTATTTGGAGTGCTGAGGAAAGGGTAAGTGCTTGCCTTGATCTCTTGACTGTGCTTCTGTTGATGAAGTCCAGGCTGCTGTTAGTCTTCATTACTGTGAGGAGCCTGCTGGCTCCCTGTTTACCTTTTTGCCCCCAGGACCTTCCAGGTCCTTGGCCTAACTGGGGACCAGCTCTGCTAAAGTCACAGCCTGTACTCTCGCAAGAGGTTATTCCATCCCAGTTGTGGATGGGACTGTGCATTTCTCCTTTATGAATTTCCTTGGGTTCCTCGTCAGCTTGTCTCTCTGACTGGCAGAGGGACACCCTTGAGCATCATCCACTGCTCCCTTCAAACTTAAGAAGGGTGCACTCATCCCCTTTTACAGGTCATTGATAAAGATATTAAATAGGACAAATCCCTGAATAGACACTTGAGAAACTCTGTTTGTAACTGGCCTTCTAATAGAGTCCAAAACACTAGCCATGGCTCTTTCAGTCAGCTGATCCAGCCAGGTTTTTGCCCATCTGGTAGCCCACCCATCCATGCCATAATATCCCAGCTTGGACAGAAAGATACCACAGGAGATGGTGTTAGAAAGCCTTGCTAAAGTTAAAGACACCCACTGCTATCTTCTCATTCATGAATCTTAACTTTTTTTTATCATAAGGAGTGGTTGGTTTTTTTGTTGTTGCTTGCTTCCTTTTGGTGCACTTTAGAATACTTCAGAAGTTGGATGAGAACATGACAAAGAATTAGGTGGTTTTGGTCATGAGTGGACAGTTTGAGTGATGGTGGTTGACTACCTTGGTAGTATGATTTTGGTCTTTATGACTCTATGCTGTGTCAGGTAATGATTTGTGTTATTCATTACATTGCAAACATACATGTCACAAGACATTATTTGAACTGATAAGACACTTAAAATTTTTTCCCACCACTGGAAAGGGGACAGCTGGGCTTTCTAGTCAGGCACACTAATAGTGCAACATGGTGGCACGAGCATCTTTCTGAAGAGAATGTGGAGTTCCTGAAGAAGATAACTGCGGAGGAATACAAAGCTCAGACAGCCAGCAAGCTCTGCCCTCTGAAAGATGAGCCTTGGCCACTGAATGAGTGGACACCAGGTGAGAAAGTATCTCTTCTGAAATACCAAACTCGTGCTGAAATTATTACTGTTGTGTTGTTGCATTCAGTAACATCAGGATTGTGCCTTGTAAAGTATTCTCCTTTTTGCTTTTACATCAATCATTCAATACATTTAGTAAATAAGTAAATGTAATACATCAGTTCTCTAAAAAGCATTCAAAATATTACATGGTGTTAAGAACTCTTAGTTTTTAGTCTATATCAGCACTTGGCCTATCTGACTGCTGTGCAATGACGAGATAATAAAGTAAAAATTTGTCAAAAAAGACTCCTTAGAATATAAAGTATATGACCTTGAAAACGTTCTTGTAAATACTGCTGGACTCTGAAGAAAAAGTGTGGTATATAATACATCCCACTTCTGTGATTCCAAAGTTTTATGGTCTGGAACACAGTATTAAGTTTTTGAGCCTCCAAAAGGGTCATGTCATTTGGGTGGCAGACTTGACATGTTGCCTTTGCTATACAGATTTGCAAAGATTGGGTGGGAGGAACCTCTTACAGTAAACTTTTCAATAGTTAGCTTGACTCTAAAATATGGGTGTTGTATTTAAAAAAAAATTAAGGGAGTCTGAAGTATTGGTTCTTTTAATGGGGAACTGGTTGCATGTTCTATCAAACACAACTGGAACAGATAGAACTTCACTGCTAGTGGGATTAAAAACAATTAACAAGTTATTCTCAGCCTACTCACAGGGAGTCAGTGAAGTTTTCTCTCCTTCACCTCCTTAGGAAAGATCAGAGTTAATGAATGGGATTTTGCAAGTTATGAAATGAACCCTTTCAAAGATTAAGTATGGAGTTGCATTCCTGTTCTGTTTTAATCTACAGATTCCATCAGAGTTGGTGTTGTTGCAGTAAAACTGGGAATGATGCCAATATGGACCAAGTCCGGAAAAAAACATGCTGTCACATTACTTAAGGTGAAATAAATCATAATGAAATTCATCTCCTGTCCTGTATTCAGATCGTTAGCCAGACATTTCAGTCAAAAGTGAAAGTTATTACTTGCACAGAGTAGGAAATCCCGAAAGAAAGGAAAGGCTTCTTTTGGTCGTGGATAGTACACCACGCCCACTCTGTTTATATCCCGAACTTTCTGGGAGCAGTCTGCCTTCTGCCTCAGCTGTTCAGGTGCTGCAGAGCTGTGAGCAGTGTTACCTAGGTGAGGCAACATAAAGCTGGGGTTAACTACCTCACGTAACTTTTTTTATTTTGCCACCTGCAGGTACTTTGGGTTAGTTTCACCTTGGTTTCTGAGCCTTTGTAGCCCTGAAGCTGCTTCTTCATATTCTCTGGCAGCTACTGTTGTCATGAAGCCTTTTGCTCACGTGTTGCTGCCATATGATGAACCAGTGCCGTGAAGGACATCAGGTTTGCAGGGCAAAAGAGCAGGAGTCTAAAATGTCAGCTCTTACTGTATGCTTTGCAAGCTTACAGAAGGGATTTTGCAGATATTGCATGCAAAAGATGACTATAAAAGATTACTTGATTTCTAGAGCATTTATGAAAATAGTTTGCATTCTACTACTATTTTTTTCCTAAAATCAGTCTTTAGTTGATTGGTAAAAGAATGTCTACAGTAAAAAAGTAACAAACACTACAGCTTACTATTTGTAAACTGTATCTTCTGTTATGAAAACAGAGACTGACTTAATTTCACTTGTTTTAATAATCTCTTACTATCATCTTAAAGCACACACATCTGCTTATACTCAAATAAACACTTTTCCTTTTCTTAAGGTGCAAGATTGTCATGTTTTAAGATACGTTTCAAAGGAAGATTCGGGTGGAAAAACAGCTAAGCTGCTTGTTGGAGGCAAAAACGTATCTCCTTTTTCTGTAAGTGAACCACTCTGGGTGTTACTGTTAGAATAGTTGTTTCTGTTGTCCTTGCAATATGAAAGTAGCATAGGTAGACTTCTCTGAAAGATTGACAGACACCTGTGCTTTGGAACAGATCTTTTGTTGCATTCACCTTGCTTATTTCCTAACTGTAAATTCTTGGTTAAGAGAATAGCAAGAAGAATTTTTTAAAGTTTTGCCTCTTGATTCTCTAGGAAAGATGTGGGTTTAGGAAGTTGCTTTGATGTGCAGTGTCCTATGCTGGTGAAAGGGTCTGAAGGACTATTAGTAGCGTAGAAACGTATGTTCACCATGTCTGTGGAGGTGCAATTAAGATGAGAACTGCAAGATGCACACTTTAGTGGCCTGTTGTAAACTTACCCAACTTCTTTGGATGTTTAGAAGATTTTGTTCTCTAGCTTATTCTTCCATACTGTTTTATTAGGTGTAGTTGTAATTTTTCCACATGTCTGTTGACATTGTTTAATTTGCCTATAGTTTTACTGATGAGTAAGTTTAAGACTTAAATTTTCAAAAAGATAGCTTCATGGTAATAGCTCATCAAGAGCTGTAGCAAAACCACTCATTCAGACACTCCAGTTTCCTGGTGTGGAATTCCCAGATACCTTCAGTGGTTAAAGTTGTCTAGCAGAGCTGTCATTTCTAAGGAGGAAATTTGAGTTATAGATCAAGGTAGGAACAAAGCTTTCTGTCAAAGGATTGCAATTTCTGTGATCCGTTATTTCTGTAAAATGCCATTTTTCGCTTCTTAAAGTGTCCTGACACTCATTTGTCTGATTTAGTCAAGTAAAAAATATCCAGGGCTCATGACCACTAAGCAGATTATCTCAGCTGATCGTGGCTTTTTGAGGACATGGATTTCACTTTTTCAAACTGACAGTTGTCCCAGAGCCTCAAAATTAATCTGTGTACTTGTTTCTGCTTTACCAGAGGTGAGGGAAGAAGGAGCCTTTTAATTTGCTAAACCTGTTGGCCTTTATAGTATATTCTACTGATTTTGAGCAGGCTGATACTTTAAGGTACCTCTCTGGTATTCAGTGGGTTTATGCCATGTTTCACCATCGCTGCTTGTAGTTCCAGGTGTCTGTCCTGTCACTTTAGTCCATTTCCACTTTCCAGATGTGACATTTTTCCTGGAAAAATGACAGCTCTGTTTTTTCTTTCATGTTACTTTGGTCTAAGACATGCAAGAACTATGTGAATAAAAATTTTCAAGTTGTATTTTGCACATTAGACTCCTTACAGTTGATCTTCTTCCCAAGCAGATGATGTTACCAGTAATTCAATTTGTTGTCAGAGTAATAACGTGTGGGAAGTAAGGAGGTATAAAGAAAATTTCTGTTTAAATAGCTCCTACGAACTAAGAAAATTTCTTCAAAGATAAACTACCTAAAAGGTCAACTCAAGGACTTTTTAGTAGTGTGAGTTATGTTAATGACTCTCTCTGGGCAAAACTTTTCCCAAGTTAGCTTCAATTAATTTGATTGAACTTAGATTCATTTTAATAAAAAATTAATTAAATATCCTTAGATCGATCTGTGATGAAGGCCTGGCCTGAGACTGAACTGTGTATTATGATTGTACTGAGCTCTGTATTATTGTTGTTGTTATCATCATTGTCATAGTATAAACTAGGTAATTCCTAAGGAAGAATTTGGCATGCTGATTCTGAGCAATTTTGCTTGTTGAGGTACTAACAAATGAGGTATTTCTATGGTGTAGCTGCAAGTTTGAATCACTGCTCTGCTACGTTTATCAGCCTTTTTATGTGTTTCTTTTCTCTTTGGAATGTCGAAAGTGAGAATTAAAGGAAGGGTAAATGATACTGTATTGTATTAGCATAAGCAATTTATCTTCTGTTAGTTCCTCATAGGAACATCTGTCTTCCTCAGATTCCTCACAGCTTCTGATTTTTAATGAGTTCAAACAAAAGATTCCCTCAGTAATTTTACTAACAAAGAATTTTCTATATTTCTTTTGAGTGTCAAATTGCTTAAAAGCTGATAAGGAATATTGCACTTTTAGCAAGATATTTTTTTTTCCTTTTTAGCTTGATATATGTCACTCTGCTACAAGTGAAGAGATTTTTCATGATTTTTTAATGCAAACTGTTTTCAAATGTACAGTTCTGACAGTGTTCTAACGTTTTTTGGTCAAAAATATTTTATATGCTTCCCATAAGTGAGGGCATATTGATCATTTTCCTATAATACTGGAAGATATCATTGGTGTTTTTAAAAGTTTAGAACATCTGAGAATTCACTCAATATTGCTTTTTAGGAAGGCTTTGTAAAGACTGCAGTGTTTTGTTTGTAAAAGTACATCTCTCTGACTCAACTGTTGTTGCAGTAGAACAGTGCAAGGCTATAACCTTGAGTAGGACTTGAGATAAAAGTGAATTTTACCCTTTGGCTTCACTGTGCTTTTCTTCAGCTGTGGTAGCACAGGGCTCCTCTTGCTGTAGCTTAAGGCAGCAGTTTCACATAACAGTGGAAGTAAAGGATTCATATACAGGCACTTAGTAGAAAGGCCATATCTTTATTTTTAATTCTCACATATGGTTCTACAGATTAAAACAGTTGTCCTCCATTGATGCCTCAAATATTTGTGGTCTTAGGGAGATTTTGTATGTAGCTGATTTTTTTTTTAAAGGTATTTGAAGTGTTTTGTACTGTGAACTCAAGTTAACAAATCACTAGGAAAAAACTTTTCACTCTCAAAGACTTTCTATCCACACTTTCTCCTCAAACAAAGACAGATTTTTATACTTAAAATTGCTGGTTTTTTTCTAAGAGATTCTCATCATCTTGCTTCCTCATTCTTCATAAAACTTCCTCTCTTGTTCTAACACTTTTTAACAAATTTTTGAAAACAAAAGAAAGGACATCATGCAAATTTTCAAAACTGCGTTTTCAAATAAACTATGTTACTTCAGTTATCCAAATTATTTTGTCTTAAAACATAGAAAATAATTTTGAGAGAGAGAACTGCACAGAAGTTTTGAGAAGTGAACCTCAGAGATGTGACTATCCTAGTGTGACAGTATTGTTAGATGCTTAAATTGCTTTCTAGGAGAATTCATTTGAAGAAAATTTAAGTGGCATTCCTTTTTTCCTATGGCTACAATTTACCTGCATTACTGTTTCTGTTGCTTGGTTTCATTTCATGGTCAGCAGTTCTGTGAGCTGTCTTGTTTAAAACAGCTGAGAATAATTTTAAGTACTTTTAAATTTGTCAGGATCCTCTGAAAAGAAGATCCTGCTTTATTAAGTCAGCAGTGGTTTGACACTGAGTGTACTTGGTATATCTTAAAAATACATGAATCATAAACTTGTTGTTCTTAATTTTTCTTTTTTTTTGTCCAGAGACTCAAAATTCTGTTCTGTGGAAAAGTTAAGCCTTTTGAGAATTTTCTGCAAGATGAGACTTTGTTTCTATTGTTTTCTTAGTTAAATCAAATAAATTTTATTTATGGTAGTGTGGAACTAAGTCATCAGTAGCTTTGAAAAGAGAACATATTTTTAAATTATTACAAAACTCTTTGTAAACCATGACAAAACCAGTAGTATCTTTTATTTATATTGTAAATGATTCTGATCTTGGAAATCTTCATATGTATCTTATTTATATAATGTAGCTGTAGGGTAACTAGTTGGCAGAAAATAAAATGCAGAGACAGGAGTTTTAAATAAATTTTATATAGAGATAAAATGCTACTCTCAAGATAAAATTTTAGTATGATATATCTGTTCCTCTGAGTGGTGTTGACAGTCTGTAATCATTTTCTGTGCCAGGTTGATCTTGGGTATTTTCAGATCACTTCTTTTTTACGGCTGCTTTTTGTTACAGAAACCAGAGTCTGCACATCAGATTTTTAAAGAAGCTGGAGTACCACGAAAGCAGAAAGTTGCAACATTTAATGTAACAGATGATGCTATAATTAAGCCAGGTAATTTTTTGAGTTGCTGATTATTACATGCCTAATCATTTAACATCTGCCACTTGTAGACCTAAACAAAGTTATGACCTGTATTTAATTTTTGTATGGAAGTTGCTGAATTATTCTTTGTCATTAAGTACAAACATACTTTTTTCTTAGGGAAAATTAGAAATTTATTGTTTAGTTGATGAGAAGTAGGATTTTTCCTTTTTCTGGGGTACTATGTTTCAATTGATTAGAAAGTTAGTCTAATCCAATTTACTAATATGAACATTGAATTAAGAAGTAAGTCTGTAACCTTGACTCACTGACTGGGAATAAATATGAATGCAGTTATGGGAAGTTCTGTGTTTATCCTTATGAGAGGGACACAGAATTTTGTGGTACTGTTTCTCAGGAACCTAAAATAGCAGTTTGAGGTTTTTTTCTTCTTGCTGCATTCAGAAGTAGAACTGATGGCTGTCATTGAGGATGTTTTTTCTGACAGCTTGCAAAGTAAAGCACACTTAAAATGTGTTTATAACAAATGTTCTCACTAAAAATCAGTATTAGCAGTTTGGAGATCTTACAAAAAGTTTTAAGTTTCTAATTATTAGGTAGTACACTTAGGTTGCTTTCACTTTTGACGATTATAGGTATTTTCTGAAGAATGATGTAGAGTTGGAAATTCTAATATATTGTGTATTTCCTTGCCATTAGTGAAGCTTTTTGTAAGATCTTTTTAAGACAGTGTGGTAACTGATAAAAATCAAATCTGACATGCTAAATGGAAGCAAAAGCTTGAGATAAAGCAGAATTGCAGGTTTTCAATAAACTGGTTTTGCAGTGCATGTATTTTGTACATAACATCCTTTATATGCATGATTTTGTGTCAGTTGACAGGCATCTTATTCCAGGTGTGTATGGATTATATAAATATAACATGACATAATATGAGAATTTTTATGCTTGAGATTTATGAGAGGTTTACATCATTTCAGTTTGCATTTGTACAGATTTGAAAAAGCATGAGAATGGATGTGGACATGAAGCAACTAAAATTTCACTTTTTTAATGGATGTAAAACAGGTTGGAAACTGTGAAATATGCAGCTATATAGATCTATACAGATTTATCATGAACTAAGTTATTAATTTTGGTTTGTTGTGGGTTTTTTTTTAAGCTGCTAATAAAAGAATATTGCACTTGGATAAAAAAAATCACTGAAGACAAAATAAATCTAAAAGTAATATTTTGATACTGCAAGTATTTAAGGAATTAGTGTAATTACAGTGAGGTGAGTGGTGTCACTGACCTACAGTAGCACTAATTCTGCTGAAAGTTAGTGTATAGGTAATTCCCCAGTGGATGAGGCTGTACTTCTGCCATAGTCTTTACTTTGGAAACACCATGTCTTAATAAAGAGAAAGCATTGCGAAACTATCTTTTTTTTTTTTATTATTCTTAACCACATTTTTTTATAGTAAGTGGGTTTTCTTTGTGGCTTGATTGGTTTTTGTTTTGTTTTTCTAAAAACTCTCCACCTTGTAAAGTTCTGGTGGTTCTAAGTACAGCATGTTCTGTTTTCTTGCTAAGTGTGTTTATTATGAATCTTAACTAATTAGACGTTTGGGGCTTTGTGTATGAAGTACAACGTACCTCAGTAGAGCCCTGGCCCTTCCTTCCTATTCATCTGAAATTGGTCTAGGACCTGAGAAATGTGCTTCAGTAGTAAATACAAAGCATCTCTCTTACTCTGTGAGGTTCATAAAGAAGAATAAATAATATGTGAATAAGTTTTCTTTCCTTTGCTGTGACCGTAATCTACCCTGTATGATAATGACTGGATAGTGATTTAAGGACTTCAGCACTTAGTTGAACATGATCTCTCCTCTTCTTTTGAAGGTACTCCTTTGTATGCTGCTCACTTCCGCCCAGGGCAGTTCGTGGATGTTACTGCAAAAACGTAGGTTTCTAAGGATTTAACGTGTGCGGTTCATCTGTCAAAGAGACTTCTGGTTCTCTTTTTCTTCCCTCTACTTTGTCTTGAACCCATGGATCACAAAAGCAGAAATACAATTGCAAGAGTAGGGACAGGAAATACATGTCCACTCATTGGATCAGCAATATAAAATTATTTTTCTTTGCTTTTGATTATGAACAAGATGAATAATTAACACTATTAGGGCAATGGTTCTGCCTGTATCTGTCACATGTACATGGAACAGCTTGAGAAAATGTTGTTCAAGCTTAGCATGGCCAAAGAGATCTATAATGCAGCATCTGTGGTATGTAGAAGTGGGTAATGAATGCTGAAAGGCATCAGTTCTCAAAAAGACTGCTTGATTTTGATTTGGTGAAGAGATGTGAAGAGAGATCTATCATGTGGACTGAAAAAAAAGCAAAAAGATATTGAATACATTTAGCAGGACAACAGAGCTGTCAGATTCCTTTTTTTTTCTGTTTTCTCTCATATTCCAGCTCATGTCCTTGCCAGCAGTGGCTAATGATCTTTTACTTTAATGTGGGAGGAATGATTTCCTTTCAGACCACTGTGAATGCCAAATTAGAGCTCAAGTGGTAGAGGGTGTCGAAAGAAAAATTGGCATCTTGTGGCAAGGACTAGTCATGGCTCTTGTGGTACATCTGTGATTTCCACTGACCAAGAGAACTGAGAACTCCTATCTGTGTGTTTCAGTGAACTGTTATTTTTGTTGTGTTGCGATACAAAGATAACATTTTCTGGGGTTTTTTTAGGTGTAATGGAGGTAACACCGAACTGTAATAGTCTCACATGTGTGTATGACCTATAAATGTGTAATATCATTCACAGGGTCTTGTATATATGGGGAAACCAAGCACCTGACTGCATTTATGAGGGTACCCTATTGAGAAAAGGAAGTCAAGGAGTTGACTGAAATTAGTATTTTTTTTATGTCAAACTTCCTTATATAATACTTAGATCTGGCATGTTGTTCATTCTGCTTCTAAATTGCATTCTGTGAACAGCCTGTAAGAGACAATAGCCTGTTTGCAAAACAAAACAGAGGATCATTAGGAATACAGTTTTTTAATGAAGATTAAGTGTTACTGTTTGTTAATGCAGAAAAGCTTTGTTTTTCTAAAAGTATTTCAAGAACTAGTAAAGGGATTTTTTTTTTTTGCCATGTAGAAGATACTGGTAAACAACCACAGGATATTTGTATCTTGGTATTTGAAAATATTAGCAAGCTAAAAATAGACTTGAGTTCTTGGTCACGTTCAGTGAATCCATCTTAAAGTAATTCAGTATTTCTGACCTGTTTTCTCCAGGTATTTGTATGATCCCATTTCAGAAATTAGCTGTTTGTTTGTGCTGGTTTGGTAGCACATTACTTGTAATCCTTCTGCACAGGTGAAGAAAAAATTTTTCTGCTAAAGAGAAAGATCAGTTGGGTTTTCTGTCAACATGATTGTCTAATCATTCCACTCTTCCTGTATCAAAATTTTTTTAACCTTTTTCTGCGGCTTACTCACATTTTGATTTCTACTTTTAAAGTTTCTTTCTTCTTAATTTCCACTTTTCTGGAATGCTTCATTTATCATATTCCCTTAACTCTTGGGTAAGAATTTAATTATTTTACTACATTTCAGTTTTTCTTTGGGTCTTTTACTTTATTCCATGGAATTTCATCCAGTGTTACTTAGTCTCATACTTTCATGAAGTTCATGGTTTTTTTACTTTTCAGAATACTGTATTCATGATTCGTAGTTACTGTACCGGGAAGTACAGATTCCACAATGTCACAAAAATATCCAAGAAATGCTTCAGTGAAGGGAAAAAAAAGTTACCTTGGGAGTGGTTATAGCATTGACCTATAGCATTTGGGCTGCACTGTGAGGGGAAAAAATGACAATGTGCTTTATGTTAGGTTTGTGTTCTGAACCCACCTCAAGAGAAGCCAGCTTCTCCCTGCTGAACAAAGGCCTTGGGAGGTTTGGTCCACAGGCTGAAGTGAGCCTTTGTACATTACTCTGTAAAGCCCCAGTTTTAGCAGTGCTGTAGGCACTTGGAAGATCCTAAGCTATAGGGGCGTTTTGGAAAGGTACTTAAAGAAAAATAACATTGAGTTACAGTAGGGAGGATAGTTTGACTTCCTTTCCTTCCTCCCACTTCTGTCTTATAGAATATAGAATGGTTTAGGTTGAAAGGAACCTTAAGGGTCATCTAGTTCCAACCCCCCTGCCATGGGCAAGAACACTTCTGCTAGACCAGCTTACTCAAAGCCCCATCCAACCTGGGGAAGGGACCTGGTTCTTCCTAATTCAAACCACTGTGGATTTAAAAGAGAGTAATTCCTAAAAACTTGCTATCACTGGTAGCAAAGTTTTTAGAAATGTTATTACATGAACATGTACTTTACATTTTTAAGATTGACAGTAATTTTGTTTTAATGGAGGAAACACCGAAGTGCGTGCAATGTTTGAAATCATGTACATGAAAATGGTGGTGCTGTTGGTAAGAGCATGATTAATTCTAATCATTCCTTTAAAAAAGAAAGAAAAAATAATGTCACCTCAATGAGGAGATAATGTAGGAGAATATATTATAAAGGATATTTTAATTTTTTGCCAACTCTTAATTATCCAGATGAGCAAGATATCTTTCTGTATGCTTCCTTCTACCAAAATAAATCAAAAATATGGTCCTTAAAAATGAGCAAGCTTTTCTTAGTTATCATAGCCTGAATGAAGGATTTGCACTACATTTCAGAAGTCTTGGTTAGCATCTTCATTTTGTTACGAAAGTGTAGGGTATTTTTTTTTAGTTGTCTTCTTTTACTCTTCCCTACAAATATTTTTGTCAAAGTCTTTTATTCATTTATAGCTCTGTAAAGAAAAACACTTTCACAGAAACAAGAAGGTTCAGTTAAAGATGTATGCAGTTAGTTTTTATTTGAAGTCTCATGATTTGTTCAGCACAATATGAGTAGCTTTTAGAGCACTGTCATTGGGCAGTGTGTCTGCATGCTGTCAGTCTTCTATAGTGCTGAAATATTTTCCTTAGTACTTATTTTCAGCTATTAAAAAGCTCAATTCTTAAGTTTAGCCCTGGTATGCTTTGAGCTAAGATTTGCAGCACTGTCCAGAAGCACTTCTCTCACAGGTTGCACTTTTGTGACCCCACCTGGAGTGCTGCATCCAGCTCTGGGATCTCCAGAACAGGAAGGGCATTGACCTCTTGTCCAGAGGAGGGTCACCAAGAGGATTAGAGAGATGGAACACCTCTCCTACGAGGAAAGGCTAAGAGAATTGGAATTGTTCAGCCTGGAGAAGAGAAGGCTTCAGGGTGACCTAATTGCAACCTTCCAGTATCTGAAGGGAGCCTACAAGAAAGCTGGAGAGAAACTATTTACAAGGGCCTGGAGTGACAGAACAAGGGGAAATCACTTCAAACTGAGAGTAGGTTTAGATTAGATATTAGGAAGAAATTCATTACTGTGAGGGTGGTGAAGCATTGGGACAGATTGCCCACAGAAGTGGTGGGTGCCCCATCCCTGAAAGTGCTCAAGGCCAGGTTGAATGGGGCTCTGAACAGCCTGGTCTATTGGAAGGTGTTCCTTCCTTGGCAGGGGGGTTGGAACTAGATGATCTTTAAGGTCCCTACCAACCCAGGCCAATCTATGATGCTTGTATGGTGACTTCCTTAAGCTGACATAGGGCATAGGCTGCTGCCCAAAGGGAAGGTGGTGCTCTCTCCCAGAGTCCCCATTGACCTTCTGTCGCTGGTACTTGTGTCCTCAGTTGCATGACGGAAAAGATCAGTGTGAGATACCTGTATTCTTCTCTGGGTTAGTTTTCAGAGGGATCAGTTGTGTGCCCCAGCTTGCTCATCACCCGAGTGAGCTTCTGCACTAGTACACAGGTGACCAGAACATGGTGATAGAGAGGGGTGGGACCATGCCTGCCGTGGTAGCCCAATGCTGTGTGGACATGGAGTTGTATCTTACCTCCTTTTCTGCCACTTCATGACCCATTCCGTGAACATTTCAGGAAAACTTGGGAACGTGAGAAATTTTGTCACTCCAAATTAAAAATCAACAGTAGTTTTATTTGAAATGTGCCAGTATTAAGTGATGATTCTGGAGTGTTTATGGTTTATTTAAGCTTTGCTAGGTTAACAGTGTAATCTGAGCCTGAAAGTATGTTCTACATTTGTCCGAAATTATTGGACTAAGTAGATGGAATCCTTCTTCCTTTATGGCATCTAAATAACGGTCTTTTAAATGAACTATGAAGAGTTAGCAGCAAACTTCATCAGAGTACTTTATTCCAGTAGCTTTCTAAATGAAAGTTGTCTCATTAGGTACTGGCATTTTATTTGTATCAAACCTGGAAAATGAGGTTTTCTACAAAATTAGGTGGTTGACCTAAACACCTGCTTTCCTGCAGGTGAGAGTAGAATTACTGTATGCAATTAAACTCTAATTCTGCACAAGGATTACTTTCATTTAACATTTATGTGTCTTAGTCTTTCATCTCATCATTGCTGCCTGCGATTCCTTTCTGGGACTCAGGTAAATATGTTTCATTCAGTGAAACCAAGTAAATTAAGTCATAAGGTAAAGTGTATTTGTAGGTTATTCAGTGATTTTCAATCAGTTTTTCACAAATAAATAATGAAACTAATCTGAAACATTATTGAACTAGTATGATGAAAGAGCCTTGGTAGATAGTAAAATGTTGTACATTTTGAAGTACTCTTAATTTCAGAATTGTGATATCTTTCCTTGACTTTAGGCAGAATATTTCAGAGGTTGGAGATTTGTTTTCATATTCCAGATTGATCAACAGATCCAAGAGAATTTTCAACTTTACCAGAGTGCTCTTTTTTAGGCTGGTTACGCTTCCTATAAATTTCCTAAAGCTTCGGTACTGTAAAGTCTGAGACTTTGTTCACAGAAAATAAGTGTGTAATTGGAAGGACCAAGAAGCAGATGAACATAGTCTATCACATAAATCATTAAACACTAGCAACTCTATCTTGTGATGTAATCACTTCTTTCTGAAGATATCTTAAAACGTTGATGTATTAAGCATTTTTTTTCAAAATACATCTCTTGTAAGTATTAGGTATTTATTTTATTTTTTTTAAAGTACAATTTATAGTATTCTAAATTGTTTAAAAATGAGCAATCTGAATGAAATATTGAAGTGGTTTCATGACATCATGCTTCTTGATTCAAGTTGACAGTACTGTTTACTTTTGAATTGGTGGCTTTTTAAGGTTGTGTGGTTTTCTCTCAATTGCAAGGACATTTTGCAGCTAAAGAATTAATCATGCCCTTGATCTGCTCACTCTGGTAACTGCACAGCTGTTGTTATGCAACCTGCTTGCAGTTGGTTTTGGAGGCTTTGTTAAGTTCATCTTCCAGCTAGAGATGCCAGAAGTAGTCTACGTGGAAAACATGGCCAGTAATAGATAGTTTAAAAGAAAAAAATAACATTTTGGCAGAACAGATACGAGTTTTCCTATGGCTTAGTTTCTGTATGTATTTCAAAGTTATTGATCCCCTAGCAATATGCAGACATAGAAAAGACAAGTTTTGAGCCTCTCTTAAAATGTATTTTTCAAACCTTTTTTTACAACTATTGCTGTTTACTAATGCAAGCTTTTAAAATAAGCTGATTCTATGGGAAACTGGTGTTAAAAAGCCTTGCATCCTTTAGATTTCTGTCTTGTGTTCCTGTTTCCTGGTAACTCAGGTCCTCTTTCGTGGAGGTGCCTTCCTTTAGCTTCCTCTCATGGCCCTGACCCTCTTCATATCCTCAGGTTCCAGCACTGTCTGCTGGCCTGGAAGGACTGTCTTTCTGGTGACAACCACTTGCATGAGTGGCCAGCTGCCAAGCCAAAGGAACATAGCACCACTTAAATTGTATTTTAGCATTTCCGTAGTTGTAGGTAAGGAGCAAAAAAAATTGGGAGCTTCTATGCAATAAATCTCAATTCAAACAATTACACGTCTTTCTTTGCCAAATTTAAGTGGGATTGATCCTTAGATTCTAAGCAGCTCTTGTTTCCTTATGATTCTGTGGCTTTAGAGAGTCTTTGTGGCTGATTCTGGCTGTAGCTTGACGTGCTCAAGGCATCTAGGGCAGCAATTAGAGGAGAATTACTCAAGTGGTAAGAGGAAAGAATCTAGTTTTCACAAATGTTGTTGTATTCCATGTTTGTATATTTTCTCTAGTTTTTCATGATAGTGCTGAGCAGGGGAGTCAGCAAAATGCAGTCCCTCTGTAGAATGTGCTCTATGCATGCTCATCCATGGTTTATTCTTCTGTGTTCGGCTGGAAGGTTCTAATGCTTGAACTAATAGGACCGTGACATTGCAAAGTGCATTAGCAGAGAAAAGATTTCTGTAAATTGGAGGAAAAGGATCATCTTTGTAAATGAATTAAATAATCAGTGCAGCCATAAACCCTGTGGTCAGATTTTTCCTTTTGGAAACAGACAATGCCAGTTTAAAGACATACTAATCGGCTTTTCCTTTGTGCAGTGATAAGGTGGGTTTTCCTGTTGAGTCTGTTCCTGCAATAAATAGAGAACTCCAAAGCCAATAATAGTATCATGTTCCTCAAAGATTAAGGGCATGGACTCTGAAAATGTGTTTTATTTGTTACTGTGCTGTAGACCTTATTTGGTAGCTGAGTATGTATCAAGGGAGTTACGTTTTCACTATACACAAAACTGTTTTCAAGAGATGAGTTTACTGTAGTATGGAAAATGTTTCTTCATTTATTTTTATCATAGTCTAAGCAGTCATCTCTTTCCTCTCTTGATGCTTAGGACCTGTCATTAAGTTTTGGTGTATGCTATTATACAGTTGCTTTTTATTTGGTTTTGGTTTTGGTTTTTTGGTTTGGTTTTTTTGGGAGGGTGTTTGTTCTGGTGTCCACTTGATGAAAGCTTCATTGCAGTAACATTTCTTGAGGATGATTACAGCAAGAAGCATTTTTTGTTAGTCTTTTTGCCTATTTGACTCTCTTCTAGTGCTTCTTATTCTTTAAGCATTGTGCTAAACTATGTTTATGATATAAAATACAGATTTTCATTTTAACTGTATTCCCCTCTCTGCTGAGCTTTGCAAAGGTAAGAAGATCATGAGCCTGACTGAAATTATTGGTTATTGCTAGAATAACAGCCTTAAGTCTGACTAACTCAGGTTTCTTTCTTAATTATTTTTGTTTTCAGAATTGGTAAAGGATTTCAAGGTGTCATGAAAAGGTGGGGATTTAAAGGTCAGCCTGCGAGCCACGGCCAGACAAAAACTCACAGAAGACCTGGAGCAATATCTACTAATGTGAGAATTCTTATTTCCTGTTTAAACGTTCTCAGTGTTTTTATAACTGCATACTAAAAATGAACAATTTCACAATATCTAGCTGCTACATGTACTCTGTGGTAGCAGAGAATCCCAGTAGCTTCAAAGGAAGTTCAGAAACCTGTATAATGAGCAATGCAGATAGCTGTTCTCTTATGCCTCAGTTTATGAATACGCATTATTTCAACTGAGCAAATTGTCATATTTTGTAGTATAGCTGAGAGGAATAGTCTTAATACTTCAAAGAGAGATCTAAGAAGCTTTTATCAGACCATTTATAGATTGGAAAAGATTTGCCCGTTATTTTACACTGCAGATATTGTACCATTCTTTGGAACCCTACTTGCTTTTGTCACCTTGCCTGGCTTGTGTAGCTGCTTGATGAACTGATTCCCATAATCTTATAGGGAATAATTCCCAAAATTTTGAAAGCTTCTAAGCATTTTTAAGCAGAGTACAGAGTCATATTTTTGTGTTTCAAACTATTAATAAAATTGGTATAAAAGCTCTTTGAGCAGATTATGTTTAAACTTTGTCCTGTTAAGGCTGTACAATATTTAGACTAAACTAAGAGGAATTTTTGCAAACTAATTAAGATCAACTGAGTCACAGTACTGAACCTGAGCTGTCTATAATTTTCTTAGAGAAATTAAAATTTAGAAAAGTATTAATAATGCTCAGAGAATAGTAAAAGCAAAAGGGCAATAGGCAATGAAGTTAGAGTAATTGAGAGTGTAAAAGCATGCATTACTGATTTACAGCCTTCAGTTTCAGCTGGAAAAAGAATTCTACACCTGGCACTTGTTTTCACTGAAGAATGTAAATATTTGAACACAGAACACTGTTTTAATAGACGATCTTCACCATTACAAAATAACCTCTCTTTTCTTTAAATTAGAATTTCATAAGCAGTAATGCTGGATGTAATTTCACAAAGTGTATAGAATGGAAAATAGTATTGGAAATGGGTAGATGAAAAAGAAACAAGATGAAAAGATGCAATAGGGGAAAAACAATGCCATGTTAGTTTTTTACTATCTAGTGTTGACCATCTCAGACATTTTTGTAATCCAGGATTTTTCAGTACAGAATCCTTTCCCTAGAACTGCATTGCAGCTGATTCCTGAAATCATGATTTTCACAAGAATTAAAAAAACGCCCAAACATTATTAATGAATAACAGAGAGGTGCAGGATACAAATCCCTTGATGACAATGTAGAATTGAAAATTATAGCACTTATTCCTGCCTTTTTTTTCCACCTTTTTAGTCCAGTTTATACCCAACCTGTCACAAATGGGATACAGAAACTAAGCAATAGCAGTGAATGGAATTAAATTAACATTTCGTTCTCAAAAATACATGCATTAAAACAGATCTGATTTACATCAGTGTGAAAATCATGGATTAGGGGGAGGAGGGCAGCTACAGTGTATCTTCATTTCAGCAGCCTTCTAGGGCAGGACTGCTCTGGAGCTCTGTGTTAGCATCCACAAGTATTTCAGGCAATAGTTCAGGCAAGTTTCCAGTTGCTGCGGTCTGTGATGTAGGTGAGAGACTTGTGTTGACAGGAATCTTAGGAAAAAAACTTTTCTTGATTTTTCACAAAGTGCAAGTATGAATGAGTACAGATTTTACTCTGAATCTATATACATTAAGTATTAAGCAAAGCTAGAATCTCTTTGTTCATATAACAGTATATGTAGCAATTTTATGATTGAGGTCAAGTATTTCAGATAACATGTAGAGTAATACCTAACCTCCAGCAGGCTGTATTTAAAATGCTCATCAGTGTTAGATTTTTTCAATATTATATTTTCAACATTGGAAATATCAGCATATTTTCTCCAGTGCTCCTCTTGCAGTTAACATGATTTTTTTTTTTGGCCTTGTTTTTATCTAGAAAGCTTCCAAAGTTTATCGCGGAAAGAAAATGCCAGGTAAAATGGGTAACGTCTATAGGACATGTTTTGGATTAAAGGTGAGTTCTGAGTATACTAGAATGTGTATAGGGTGGTTGCCTTACCAAGCAATGAACTCAGCCATGTAGCCTTGTGTTAGTGTTGTTTGAAGTCCTAACTTGATCACGACCCTTCACTTTCATTTACAAAAAAGAGATTATAGTTTCTGTCCAGATTCTGATTGGTACATTTGTACAGCAGCTCCTGGGCTATTAAAGATACTTTTCTCTGTCTCCAAAGGCAACCTCTGCAAATTGACCTCTAGTTTGCAAAAAAGTGTGCTGCTGCTGTTCTCTGTTAACTGAAACTAATTTTTTGTAGCAGAAAATGTTGTGTTCAGTTGGGCACCTCATTGAATTAAGAAATTAACAAATGCTCACAGTAACATTTTCATGAGGATATTTGTTTTATTTTGTCACCTGGATGTTCAACGGCTGTTGCTGTTAGAGGAAAAAGAGGCTTAGGAGCTCTGGTTGGTGTTTGCTGAACAAAGAGCTGCCTTACCAAATATAGCCTGATCACCCGCCCTTCAAAACTGTTACAGTCTCCTGCATGAGAAAGTTTGGCACTCAGAGTGGCATGTGAGCGAATTTTGTGACAGTTTAGGCCTTTACAGAATGTTCTTTCCCAGAGTACCACCTCCAGTTAATCAGTTTGTGCCTTACTGGACTACTGTTTGTAAAAGTGGGAATAGTCTAAACAGGGCTCAATGTCTGTTATTTTTTTCTGTCTCCTAGGTGTGGAGGATCAACACAATACATGACATTATTTATGTAAATGGCTCTGTTCCAGGTCACACAAATTGTCTGGTGAAGGTATGTTTGTTAGTTTCAACTTACTGATATTAGTGACTCCTGAACTCTTTACAAATCTCTTCTTACAAAAAGAAAAACACTGGTTGAATGCAATCTTCATTTCTTCAGTGCCATCTAGTACTGTTGAATTAAAGGGCAGTAGAATCAGCGCTGTGAAAGAGAGTGATTAGTAGGGACAGTGTGTCACACTCACTCTGAATGGCTCATTCTTAGCTTTGCCCTGGGGCTGTGCACCCACATAGTTTATGATAAACCAGCACAGTTGCTGAAACCCTTTGGTAAGTGTCTCCAGCCTACATCCATCCCCTTTGAATGCTAACTCAAGCCAGTAGCATGGCGGTGAAATTTCCAGAATATTATTTAAGGGCTGTATTCGTGAACAGAAATACACAGCAAGCACTGCTTTAGAGGTTATTCCAAGCATTCCCATATGCAGTAGCAATTACCTTTCCAAGGAGCAGTCGAGGTACAGAAGGAGACAGCAGGAATTCACAATAAAGGTCTGAGTTCCCTTTGCAATCAATATAAATATGTCAGTGCTGTTTTCTGTGTCAGTCTGCAGAATTAATTTCGAATTCTATGGAGGTTGTTTCAAGATTGTCTGTGAAAAACTGAAACAATGAAGAGTCTAATAAGTGTTCTTACAGTGTAAATAATCCACATCAAAGCAATAAAAGCGCTTCTGAGGGTTGTTTTCAAAATAGATTTTTCTTTCTAATTAGGTATATTCTACACATCTGCAAGCACAAATTACTTGGAGAAAGTTGCTTCCTTTCAGACTGAATAGAGTACAGGCTATCAAACATCTTTGCTATGAATGGTTATAAAGATTCTGATGTACATATACCTGTATATGTGATACACAGTTTTAAATCCTCAGAAGTATTATTGGGATTTAAATTATTCAGTTTTTGAAAAACTACAGAGTTCATTAAGTTCAGATGTTTTCAGTTAGTTTATTATCTTCTTTATTTTACTGTGGACATCCAGTTTCTGTTCCGTGTTTCCTAGTTGTGAATCAGAACTCCGCAGTTGCTCGGCTTTAGGTACAGCAACCCTAGCTTTCAAATAAGTGTTTTTCCCACAGAAAAATGAAGTTTATTCTTCTTTCTCTCATTGAAAATAAGGCCTTTTTTTCTGAGTGCGGTATTTCTAAACTGCTTTGGTTGTAAGGTCCAACCTAAGCCTTTTCCCTCCCAAGATAGTGAAAATTGGTTAACAGATGGCCATGAGACAAGTAGTTTTCAGGACAACTGCAAAATTACTGGGCATTACATCAATTATATAGAATTAAGACTGTAGCTTGGCTGGCTTTTCATCCTTGTATTGGACCAAATGACCCCTTCTCCAACTGTGTCCCATTTTTCAAATCCTGAGACATGAACCTGGTTGCTGTTAGTCTGAGGTTTAAATAAGTGGGAATCTGTTGCAGGATGTTAGTTTTAAATTATAAGTATACAAACAAAATAATGTAGCTGAAAAACTGAGAAACATTTGATGCCCAAACTGTATTCTTAATTCTTAATAGTACTCTTAAGCAAGAGTTAATTGTTGCAAAAGATTGTGCATCTTGTTATCCTAGTCATGCTGTTAAAATCCACATTTACAGTGGCCCTGCTTGGTGGCAAATGCACATACATATCTCAGAATTTTATCTGTAAGAATACAGCACTTTATGAAACCACTAACACTCTGAATACAGTACCTAGTTCTTCTAGATCATAACTTTTATTCTAACTACACTCAGTAAATTTATTTTTTTATTTCTGATTTTCAGTGAGTTAAGAAAGCAAACATTTATTAAACACCTGTAATATAAACTATTTTTAATAGCAAAGCTGTGTGTGTTAATACCACATATTCTTATGTACTCCTTGAAGATCTCATTTGAACAAATCGATGTCCCCTTGCTGATCAGATATTGTGCTCACTTCTTGGAGAAGAGCATACGTGCTTTCTGTCACGATTTGGTCACTTTCACCTTTTTGTTTTACCTTCTCTTTTTCTTTATTCAGTTGTTACTCTTGTCTAGGCTGGGAAGCATCCCCGTTAACACCTTGGATTTACTGGTTTTGTTCTGAAAGCAGTCCTGTTAGCTTACAAAAATCCTTGAGGCAACAGCACTGCCACAGTCAACAGCCCTGTTAACAGGAGATTGCTGGGCCAAGCCACCGAGTATAAGCGGTAAAACTACCGTGTTGACATCTGCAATGTCAAGAGGATCATGGGCTTGGACTGCTGTAGCAGTCTGCTGCATACCATTTAAGTGCCTGCCATGTCCAGGAGTCATTTCTGTTCAGTTCACTCACCACGGATGATGATTGGAACTTTATCCTAAAACCAAAAGTTAAAATGGCTCATTAGTTTTTTTTCAGGTAAACTTAGTCCATCAGTATTAACTAAGTGGCACAAGGCACTTTTCTGTCTGCTTTACTAATCCTTATACAGGATGTCTACAATATCAGAATCTGTATTAATTTTATCTGTAAGTTACCGATATATAAAACGTTTCAAGTCATAGTTATCTACAATTTAGAAGTCCAGGTATCTTCGAGTATACATTTTGGCAAATGCATTTCAGAGTTGCAGCTAATTAAGGGTTAAGGATCCATGGGAAGAATGAGGCTTTTCTTCCCTTAGAGCTCCTTGATTAACATAATAAAATATTTGAAAGATCTTGACCAAAATGCTCCAGACTCAAACTTTCATGATATTTAATAATAAATAACACTGTTTGAGATAAAGGCACAGCAGTAGGTATTACTGCTATTAAGAAATAGATTTCTAAAAATTGTCTCCACTCACGTATTTGGAGATTATAGGCAGTATGTAGTCAGAAACAGTTTATTCCAGTTCCTTGAGCTGGTGAATCCATTGTGTGGGTTTTTTTCTTGCATAAGCCATATGAGTTACATGTATTAATTAATTTTTTCCCTTATATTTTCAAACACATTGCTGAAGAGTAGAAAAAGCTTTAATTATAAAATCAGGCAAAGCAATACTATTTGACATCTGTTCTTTAATTTCTGGTTTTTCTTTCTCCATTTAATCTTGCTGCATTTATCTGTGGTGTTTTTAGCTTGTCTTATGCCTTTCTTCCAGAATGTTTTCTTATTTGTCTTATAGACATTGACTTCAATATGTTGCTGTATATTTGTTTAGATCTGTAGCTGGGGAGAGGAATTATGGGATATTAGCATTTGTAATTACTATTCATTCCACTAAATACCTGCCTGTAATTAAGTAGGACTAATGTCTAGGGAAATTGAATCCGTCTGTCTTTCACAAGAAGTGAAATATTGCGTAACACTTCTCTCTTTATGTGCCTCTAAGAGGAAAACATTTGTGTTCAGTAACCACTCTGTGTTGCTTGGTAACCATTAAAACCACAGTGCACCTTTAAAGCATATATTTATTTTGTATGTTGTATTTTTGGAAACTTAGTACATCAGCACTGTATTCAGACAGAGATGAAGCACTTAAATTTTTCAAGTTTCATTTTCAGCAGAATACTAGGATTGATGGATTTCTGGTTTAATGAGAAGTCAGTTTTCATTTGATATTGCACACTGAAGCATGCAGGTAAATAACTGACATAAGTAATATTTCTACCCAACTGGAGAACTAATGAAAAAAGTTTGGATTTCTTTCTCAATTTCAAGGTCTAATAAAATTAAGAAATTTTGACAGTGTGCTAGAATGCATGGAATTTTTCTGTTACAGGAGTAACATTGCAGAGAAAGCATTTGTAAGTTAGTGTGGTTTGCCTATCAAGATAGCCTACCTCAGGTAACACCGGTTTCCTTCTGGTGTGTCTTCTTAGATCACAGGGCCTATAGTTCCCATCTGTAATAGTTTTTTCTTTCCAAAGTTTATGGCTCTGGATTTATTTCCCAAGTATAGTACCAAAAATTCTCTCTTCTGTCATTCAAGAGAGAAGCACAAGATTTAATTCCCTTTTTAAGTAGTTTTTTTTTTGCCTTATAATGGAGAGTGTGCAGTGGTATGGTATATTATAATTCAGGATGTTACAGTTTATCTTTGATAATGTTTTATAACTGTCTTAATTTTAAGGCAGCTGGTTTTCTTAGGACATTCAGTGTTGACCACTTTGAGTATATCACTTGTAGTGAAAGCCGAAATTCTGGCAAATCTTGTAACCCATAGGAGTTGCTTAGCAAGTTAGATACTGAACTGGCCTTTTTGTATGCTAGACCTGAGTTAAATTGAAGTATACAGTTGCTTTATAATGTTCTGCTTGAGCTAATAACTTAAGTCTTGAGACTGCTTTTTCATTCAGCTTTTTTTTTTTTTTTTAAGAAAAGTCTGTAGTGATTCACATCCTACTTGTTTTGTATCACACTTTCCAATATTACTGTATTGTGTTTCTAGCTGTTCATGCCTGAGTTGGGTATACTCTGATCAAGTTGAGGACACGCAGAAATAGCATGATACCTTCAGTTCTTTCATCTTCCCTGTTCTATACCTTGTGTTCCATGGATAGAGTTGTGTGGAGGTTTGAGGGGTTTTTGTTTGGTTGGGGGTTTTTTAAGACAAAATAAGGCTGGTCTGAAATGGATACAGTTCTTGCATTAAATTTTCTGTCTAGGTTCAAAAATAATAGAGAAGCTGAGGAGAATATTTCTAATCTTTTTTTATATTTAAGCACATTTTTCTGTTTCACAAACAAATTCTTTGCTGTGGTTGCTTACGCAGCCTGAAGCCCTGTTGAACTACAACTGTGAGTTGTGACTTAAGCATCAACTTTTGGTGCTTGTTTAAGACAATATGGAGTCTTTTGTGGTCATAGATTTCTGAATTTGCGTTTGTTTATACTACCCATTATGCCGTCAGTATAGGGGACATGCATATGTCCAGTCTGTTAATTTTATCTGCAAAACCCTTTATGACTGTTCAGAGATTTAGTTACAAAACCCCAACCAGCTCCAATTTCAGCTTTCTCTAATATTTTATTAATAAAAAGACTATACACTATGTATCATCTGTCTGTAGTATAGTGTACTATAATATACTATAATATAATATTACTATTAATACAGCAGTTGAGTAAGCCAAGCATTTATGGTATATTGAATTATACAGTGAATGCTTTTATGGATTGTAATAACCAGCTGGACTACCAGCCTGATTCCTTCTGTGAGTGAGAGCTAAATTCACTGGATTTTAGTAACACAGAGCATGAAAACTTAACTTAATCCTTTATTAGGGCTGTTCTCCGGAGGTTACAAGGAGAACAGGAAGAGCTGTGCTGGGTCACCTGTACTTCTTTACTGTGTACATGCTTATGCAAACAAGTGTAGCTCTTGCTACTGCATGCCATTGGGCCCCTTTATACTATTGTGAAGTTACTGTGCAGGAATCTGAGGTATTAGATACAGGTAACCTTTGGTATTGTTGCCGTGGTATTTTGGTGCTGAAAAAAATCTCCAGAGCAGTTAATTAGGGGTGAGATAAGAAAGGGTTTATTTGCCAAGGCAGTAGATGTTACACGACGCGCGCAGGCCGTGCCTGAGAGGTTACATTTTATAATACCATCCATCCAATCCCAGATGTGTCCACCCTGTGGCCTTTACTCTGGTCTGTCCCGGGTCCACCCCCTTAAAATGGGTCTGGGGTGTATTTCGGGACCCCTTATTCATCCCATCTTCAGAGCACAAAGGGTACATAGTTACCTAATTCTTGACCGTATTCTGTGGTTTAGGCCCTGATATGCTGTTCTGCCAACAATCTAGGCCTTGCCTTGAGAAGAGACTAAACATTTCTGCTGTATTCAGAAGTAGGATTGATATGGGGAGCATAGAATGGGGTAAGAGGGTTAAGGAATGTATAAACAAGGGTACTGGTGAAAGGGAAAGGGACAAGGGACAAAGAAGGGAGGGGTTTCTGCTTTTAAAACCTACTTATAAAACTTACAAGTCTTACAAATATTAGAAAAATAAAAAAACATTAGGGGCTTAAGGCATCAGTATGCTGCACCCTTCATAAATGTAAAGGGAATCATTCAGTAAATCTCTTGAGAAGACACGTAATTCATACTGTGTTTTAAGTTGCAAATCGGTACTTTCAGATGTAAAATGAAATCGAGTTGTTCCTTTTAATAGGAATAATAATGATAATATCTGATAATATCTAATTCTTGAAATTTACAAGGGAGAAAGAGGGATGTTCTTTCAGTTTGGTAGTGATGCTCTAAGGTGGTGCTTTTTTGCTTTAAATTTTATTTGAAAGCAATGAATGTAGAAGAAGATGGGAAAAGAGCAGTAGTTTTCACCAGTCAAAAGAAATACTGTGTCAATTATACTAGTCAAAAGAAAGAGCATATGAAAAGGAAACCATTTTAACATCAGATATGGCCTGTGCTTCTGGGGTCTGTCAAGCTTCTGAGGAGTTTGGAAGGGTAAAATGCAAGGGTATTGTACTCCTGTGAAAGCAACAACGGTTTGTTGAAAATGCTTCATGAGAACATTAAAACTATTTTAAGAATTCTCCTTATCACACAAGAGGGACTATCTCTAAAATGTCCCTTGACATTAATATGCCATTAATATAATGTTAAGTCTGCACAGAAATCTTACATTTATTTAGGTAAACTAATGCAGGACTAAAATTAGACTGTTGGATTTGCCTTCAGTTGAGAGCAGATGTCTTGCTTCAAAATCCTGTCATAAAAAATTATTTTAAGAAAGGGAGGAAAAACAAGGAGGAAAACAAACATTTCAATTCCTTTCATTTTCCAGGTGTCCAAAACTGCCTGTAATGAGATAGCCTGTATGTAACAACACATATTATTTCATGATGAAAATCATCAAAAGTAACAAAAAGTCTTCTTAATACTTCCTGACATAGAGACCATGGGGCGGTTTGCTGTTGATAGAGAAGGCTTATGGTGTGTCATAGGATTAGAGAGTAAAAGAGAAAGGGGCAAGGGTGATAACTGGTGAAGTTACTAAAACATGTTTTCATATAGTAAAAGAAACAGGCACAACTTACTGAAAGGGAAGGATGATATCTCTGAAGATGCCATCCTTCAGATGGCATTGTTGAAGCTGTCTGTGTTTCTTCTGAACTCACTGCTGCTGGAACTGTTGTAGTAAAGGTCTTTGGACTTGGGCCTCAAAGTTTATTCCATCTAGCTATGTAATGTAAATTGGGAACTGGAGGTACTTAAGTAGTTCTATGTGGCAGTTTACAAGTGAATAGAGAATACTTTTATAGGGAGGTGTCTGGTAGAAGAGGAATGATCTATTTGAGAAGTTACTTAGCCATGCTAACCAGTACAACATGTTGAGCCCTTCGTCTCCTCGTTCTTAGCAAAAAGTTTTCTTTTGTTTATCAAGCCTGCACTTAGAAAACTGTTGGAACATTGAATTTATTGTACACTTCATTTGCAGGAATCCTCATGGACTGTGAGAAAGGCTCAAGTAATAGCAGATATGAATCTGGGAAATAGAGTGTTGTCAAAACAGAGCTTCCAGTGGGCATAAAATAGTTTTATTTAATTTTTGGCATAAATCATAATTGTCCTATGTGAGGTTTTTGTCCAACCAAGTAAAAACAAGCTTCCTGTTTTTTAAAAACCCACTAAAAAACTAAAAGGAAGAGCTTATCTTCTCTATAGTAAAATTTTTCTCTAATCTATTTGTACTTTTTTTTTAATCCACTTGAGTATAGTGGCTGAAAGGGATTATTACAGCTTGCAAGGAAGATCATTTGTAACAATATAGAAACGAAGAATTTAATTTTAAGTAAAATTTCATTGCTCAAGAATTTGTAGCTCTTTTTTTTCTTCAGAGATACCAGCTTTCTATCTGCTACTGCAGACAAACTGCTTTTTGCTGATAATTCTAGCTACTAATTTTCTTCAGAGATTGGAGTTTCAGGGGCTAGATTTTAAATCTTTCCACATGTAGAGAGGTCAGTAAAGGAAAGTAATTTCTCCGTGGCACCACAGTTCTTGGAAATGAACTGTCTTAAAGGCTCGTGTTTGACAAACTTGGGTACTGATTCCTGGCTGAAGAATTTTAGATGCTTAATTCAGCTCTGTGGTAGCCAGAGGAATTGAATACAGCACATGCACATATCTTTGCAAAATTAGTTACCATAATTAGTTTGCATCATACATACAAATGCGTGTCTTGGTTGTTGAAGAGGTGATTACACTGCATAAATATAACTTGGTATGTCACGTAGGAAAGTACTGTGGGATACAAGCACAGTTTAAACAAGCCATATTTTTATTTTAATAACATTTTAAAATATTGACCAATGAATTCATGAGAGTAGGTTTTGATTCTCTCACTGTTACAACAAATTCTCTTTGTTTTGTTTTTATTTAGTTTTGTTGTTTTTTTAACAAACTCCTTAAGGATGGGTACAGAATGTTAAATTCAATAGCTGTGGTTGGTGTTAAAATAGATGATGATTATACGTGGAATTCTTTAAACAAGTGCAATGTGAATGCTCCTGGGTTTTTTCTTATGCATGCAAGCCGAGTTCTTTAATTTCTAGTGTATCACTGTCTGAAAGTCTTCTGTAAGATTTATTAACTCTACCCTTCTCCTTCCTGCTTTTTAGGTCAGAGATAGCAAATTGCCTACTTGCAAGGAATACAATAAAAACCCTCCGTTCCCTACGTTTTTTGCTGATGGAGATGAAAAACTACCAGAAGACCTTTTTGATGAGGAAATCTTCCAGTTCACGGATCCATCTGTCACGTATACATAATGTTCTTCACATCTTTGAAAACACAGTTTTCAAACACAGTTTCGTTATTTTCATGAACTTTGCAATTCTGTACGAAAGAAAACCTATGAATTGCAGTCTGGCCAACTGACTTAAACACTTCAGATATTGCCATTTTGGTCAGGTGATCGGATTTCCCACCATCAGTTTCAAACCTGTACTTAAAGCAACCGGTGAATCTGAGGGACAGTTGTAAAGCACACCAAATAGCATGTCTTCAGTGAGCTTTTGTCCTTTGCCTCAGGCTGTGAAAACTTACTCATTTCTGAAAAACTGTTGTTTTGAGATGGTTCCAGTTCATTTTCTAAATGCTAACAAACTCTGTTTCTTTCTTAAGTAAAGTATTCTGGGCAACTCTGATCAATCAAAAAACGTTCCAAATCTGCCTTAGCATCTAGGGGAGGAGATGTGTGGGGAGAGGAGGCGGGGGAGATCTGTGAAGAATAATCCAAAATAAAACAAGAAAACACATTGCTCTGCAGCAGCACAAGCTTGTTTTGCTTCCTTCTTTTCACCAGAGCTCTTTTTCTTCTTTTGCTTTAACGTTGTGTTGAGTTAATGGTAGCAGATACCCAACAAATTTTCTAGAGGGAGGGTGATGCTGGCCATGTGTAGGGTGAGGGGGTGTTCGGATGGGAAACGTTCAGTAACAAAGCAGCACTAAGACTGCAGGGGCCACCTGTTTGTCATCTTTGCTAACAGCTTGTTCTGAACTTCGCAGAGGGTCCCTTGAATGCTCTCTGGAGAAATATCTCCACGCCTACCATTGTCTCTGTATTGGATTCTTAAGCTGTTACAGGAGAGCTATTACTAAGAAAGCAGGTAAAATGTGAGGGATTTGTCTTAATGATAGTGCTCATTTTTCTTCTACCTGACCTTTCAGTAGTAGCTGGAGTCATTACACTCCTTTTATTTTTCATCTTGTGTGATTTACTATTTATAAGTTTGATCTTTTGAACTCTGTAAATCCTCTCACCTACAGCAGTAAGTACCTGCCTGTCTGTACCATCTGAGCACTTACAAGTCCTACAGTAGTTCAAGAATTTACATACGAATTACCATTAATACTGTGGCAGTGCTTCAACACAAGACATCAAATACCTAAAGTAAATGAGATTTCTCAAGACCTTACTAATACTACCCAATTTAAAAGGTGACATCCATACCTTTGTAGTGACTTCCAATCACTAAAGATGTTTTTTTTTTTGTGATTGCTTGAAGAAACCACATGCCATCTTATAAAAGCTCTGTATAGCTGCTGACTTGTAGTAGACTGAGAGTGATCATTAGAGACTGTAGTATGGAAATATGAACTGGTGTATATCTGCATTGTAGGCTATCCTCTTTGCTCAATTCAGTTGAATATAAAATGTGATTCAAATAAGTGCACCAGAATGCTGAAGAAACAGCAGCCCCTTCATGCTTCCCCTTCCCATCAGTCACACCAGTTCTGCAAGCGCAGACAACACACACACAGCACACGTGATGCAAAAAGCAGGTAGCAAATACCAAGTGGGGTGTTGTGTTTTGGCTGTGATACCAGTAGTGAGTGACACCTCTCACCTGTTTCAGATAGTTGCTGTTTCCTGGGGAGCAGATTGGTTTTCAATCTCCTGATTGCAAAATAGATTTTTAAAGTTGCAGCTTTTCAAGTTTGCTTGTTGTGGAACACATGTAAATCAGGGAGTGTCCAGATATGTAGCCCACTGTTCTGCTCTGGTTTAGGGGATAATTCTGACACACACATGCTTTCCTTGAGGAGCTTTGTTGTTGGTTTTTTGTTTTACTTGGTAATTGATCCTGGACTATGACAGAGATGACCATACAGAGAGATATCTTTTCCCATTTGGTTTCTCAGCCAGAATATCCTGGATGTGGGATCCTCTCCTGTGACTAATTGTATTTTGGGTTTGCTTTCAGCGTATGCCTTGCAAAGTCCAAAGAATCAATTGTGAACTCAAAGGGTTTATAAAAGTAAATCAAGGTGAGCTCTGTATCAGGTATTATTTCAGTGTGAGGGGAAAATTGACAACGTACTTCAATTCCAGTTTCTTTGGTAAGAGAATAACTTCTCCCTTTTTGGATTAAACAGTGACATTCCAATGATCTGTTCACGTTACTTTTTAGATTCATTGTCCAGGAGATGACTGCAGTCATTCAGGGAATTCTGTACTTAATGTTGCCTTCCCTTTGTTCAGTTTTAAAATTTCTGTTGAAACCTATATACTGTCAGAGTAGTCTTTTCAGTTTTGCTTTTGAAATGCATGATGGGTGTGAGCCATATGATTTTTTCAGATGCTGCTTATGCAGGTCTCTTTTTTTGTTGAGGTGTGCAAGTGAAACATTTTCCATCTTAGTTTATCAAGAGTGCTTGAACACCAAAGACAAGAGCTGTCATAGCTCAGGTAAAGACTGATGTCCCAAAGGTAAGTATTTTCAGTAGAGCAAATGCAGTGAGATGGATAAGATCTGTCAATGTGAGTTCAGAGTAGTGCAATATAGATTGGAACATAAACATCCATTAGACCTGTTCTTCCATCAGGCGCTGAAAGGCTTATAGTGTTTTGTATTTAATTTTCCTTATGCTCCCCATCTCTGTTTACTGCTTTCCTGACTAACGAAGGGACTTGGAGCCAGAGAAAGGCAGGCTGAATTTATTTCAAGGAGCAAAACTGTTCAGAAGTGTGTAATGGCACCAAATGCTTTAAGCCCATCTACAAATTTGTTCTTAGAAAAGGATGCTTGATGAACTATTTTTAGACATTATCAAAGGTGCTGGAGCTGAGTATTCTTCTTCAATGTGGCTGAAGGTTGTGGCTAATCGAGCAGATGTGCTTTTAAGAGTCATGTAAAAGCAGAGAAAAGTAGGCAAATATCAGGTCCTCATGTCTCAGATGAGCCAGCAGTTTCTCATACAAAAGGATGTGTTAACTTTACTGAAAAGGCAAACTAAGGGCTCTGTTGCAAGTAGATACCTGTGTGTTTTGTTGCTGTGTCTTGAGTAATGAAAGTTTAGAGCCGTCAGGCAAGCAAGAACAGCAACAATAAAAATAAGTTCTTATTCCATATTACCTGTAGATTATTAAAGAAGAAGGACCTGAACGTGTAACCAGGAGTCTGAATCCTGTAGGACAACATCCTATGTTGCAGTCTGGCTGAGGAAGTAATTGTTGGCAAGCTCTATTACCACAACTTGTGAAGACTGCCAGAGGTCTCCCCAGAGACTTCTCATCTTCAGGCTGAACAACCCCAGCTCTCTCAGCCTATCTCCATAGTGCTCCATGGTGCTCCAGCCCTCTAAGCATCTTTATGGCTTTTCTCTGGACTCGCTCTAGCAGTGAGTTCTGTGCCCTTGTGGTGGTGTGGGTGAGGTGCTGAGCTGGGGTTTGCATGTCCAGGAGCTCGGTACACCCTCCTTAGGCTGTTCTGTTTGTTTGGGTTAGTGGGGTGGTTTTAACATCACTAACATGCTCCTTTGGAGGAGGATGTAGGGTTAAGCTTTAGCTGTACCTGTGGCTTTATGGCATGACTGCTCTGAAAAATGAATTCTCTTCAATAATAACCCCTCTCAGTGGTTCTGTAGTAGTACATGAATAAACAGTGTCAAGCTTACAATATAAGTTGAAAGTAAAAAGACAGCAGGAAGAGGAAATCAAAACACTCGTCTATCACTTGACAACATAATTGCAGTCATTGATGATAAACAAGGAGAGTTTATTTCTCTTCAAATACAATACTTTTACGTACCATTGCTCTGTCATTATAGGAGACCAATAAACATTTTTGTTTACCATTTTCACTTCATGTGGAAAAATGTCTTTTATTCTGTTACCATTTAACAAATACTATTCCGGTAAACTGAAGGGATGACTAGAGTTTGCATGTAAAAATTCTGCCTTCCTTACTGTTTCCTTACGGAATTCTGGAAGTCCTGGAGGACTTTGATGATCTTATAGGTCTTTTCCAACCTTAATGATTCTATGATTGGAAGAAAACTGAACAAGATGTAAACTGTGAGGGGGTCTGACCTGTGTAACCCACCTGCCTCCGCGATGCCCGGCAGCTGTGAGCCCGACACCCCCAGCCAGAGGTTTTGCACTGGTAGGATGATGCCAGCCCTGCACACAGGGCTCTCCTGTGATGCCAACTACTTACTATTTAAAGGAAATTGCTGGCCCCATCCTAGGGTGCCTCATAAAGTCTGGCTAATAGAGAAGTCCAATAACCACAGTGAGGACAGTGGTGGGGTTCATTAATTTTAGCAGTGCTGTGTCTGTAGCTATCACTTGGCTTGGATCATTCTCCTGATTTATGTCATTCCCCCATCTCCTTGAGATTTCATGTGAGGAGTGCCTTGGTTTCCTAACTGTAAGCATTACTTGTATACAATGTCTTCTCATAATTAGCTCCTGTGCCCTTCAGTGCACAGGTAGTGCTTATTAATTGCCTTTAATGAGCATCTCTCACCTGCAGCAAGTTGCCCTGCTCTGTTGCACACCTTAGCATGTAGCATAGTGTAGTATGATTTATTTATATAACATGCCTAAGGACATTTAGCAGCTGTAAAATGATGCATAAATGTTGACCTTGGTCTTGAGTATTTACTGGTTTTGGAGACAGCATGGAGGAAGGGAGGAATTCCTCTGGGGGAGGAGTTTAAGTTGATTGCACGTAGCCTTAATGCTATCACACCAGAAAAAGAATTCATTTCAGTTGGTGCAATTCTGCTGTTCCTGAAGTGTGGCAGCAAAACAGATAGACAGATGGCAGCTCTTCCTGAGGAGTATGTACAGCCAAGTTATGGTATCAGGTAGGAAAGGGGTACATAAGGACTGATAGTCTCTAAATAATTGCAGCCTGCTGACTTACCTCATGCAGTACCCAGAAAGACTGGGTGTGATATGACACTAGTTCAGTCCCCAGCCATTCTGTCGGTGCACTCTTCCTTGCACGTCTTCCCCTGGTTTTACAGAAGTGTGTGTGTGGTAGGTGTGAATTTGCCGAATGGAGTGGGCATCACAAGGAAGTTTTCCAGCAGCATCATAACATCCTAGTTCTCTCTGTCTCACTTCCCTCATTCCAATAGGCTATTACATATGGGGTCCCACCTGTGTGAATGGTTGATGAGCCATGGACTCATTTCTGTTTGAATGCTGAAGACCTGAGGTACATTCTTACTTTCTGTGATTGCAGTGACACCTAGCTACTGCCCGTGATGAATTAAAAATCACTGCTTGTGAATAATTTCATTTGGGGGTTAAATTAATGTTCCCTTTCATGGCAGTAACTTTGAGCACTAGAACAGAACCCAGAAGAGACAGTCAGCTGAGGAAACAAGTGCAGTTTTCAGTATGAATGCAGAAAATGGCTTGAATTATTTGCTGTAATCTAATGAGTTTACGCTGGAGATGGAGCCTTCTGTGCTGTGGTGCTTATTGCTGCTTCTCAAATTCCTGTGTGTAAAATTTTCTGGCATAAACTGTACAT